GGGTGTGATGAGCCCGGCTTGCTTGGGGATACACAGTCGGTCTCTCTTTCGAGGGGACGGATGAAGAGGTGATAGGGACTGAGTCAAGCAAGCTCATCATGAACGGTTCAATGACAGATTTAGATATTGCGATGATGCCCTTGACTTGAATGCTGCTGAGGAGGAGGGGCGCATGCTGAAATGACCTTCTACTTCTTCTGCTTCTGCTTCTGTCCTGCTTCGCTTCCCTGCGTCCATGTACATGTTTCTCGAACGGGACCAGGCAGGCCTCTTCTTCCACCCTTTTCGTCTGTGTCCGTATCCGCATCTATGTTTGTCTACAGCTTCTATGTATTGACACTCGCTTCATTTCCCTTTTTTCGAATCGGATTTATTGTAGAACTGTACGTCGTTTGCTGGGGCTAAGGCCATTCTTTATACTTCGCTGCTCCCAGCACGCATTCTTTAGCGCTGTCGCTGCTTCGGTGAGGTCACGAGCCGCTTGTGTTGACTGCCAAAGATAAGGTGGCCGTGCAGAACGGGGAGGAAGGGTTCTGCTGTGGGGTGGGACTGAGGTGTCGTCGTGGGCTCGTTGTAAGATGGGATGGCGGCAAGGACGTCGAGCCCATTGATAACTGGAATGGGGTGGAGCGGTCATCGATATGCTCCTCGCCCAACCGAGCTCGCTTTGGAGTGAGATCGCACCGAAGGGCACCTAGCCAATGTGCATAGAAAGCCAGAGTCGAGCTATTTCGTAAGCAACGTCCTCGTCCGCAATGACGTACCCAGGGCCACATATAGCGTATGAAGTCCCCTTCACAAATCATCGAAACCACCGCAGTGAGACAATCATGATTTCTTCCCGTAGTGCGGCATCTTCTCGTACGCGTTGGGACTAGGCCTCCTCTTCCCAGCGCCGTGGTCATGCTCGCAGTCCTTCTCATGCCGATGCTTCCTCTTACCCTTGCCCTTTCGACCCCTACTGCCGCCACTTCCACCAGCCATTCGAGCTCCACCATCGTCAGCCGAGTCGCTTGCTCCGCCGCTGTCGGAGTCACTGCTGCTCGAACTGTCGTCCTCGGACGAACTCTCGCCCACCTCCCGTGGCTTGTGGTAGATGCAGCACACCTTGCTGCTCTTGCGGCCTAGACCCTCGTTGTCCACCACATCTTCCGCCCACCGGATGCGTGGCCGGCTTTCGCTTTCTTCGTCCATTTCGTTCTCATTGGGCTGCGTATGCGTATGCGTTCGCGAAGTGTGCGCGCCGCGCAGACGGAGCACAAGGCTTGGTTCGGGGGAGCGTGAGGATCGTGGCGTGTCTGTGGGTGTGGAAGTTATGGTTTGCGTCGCGGAGCCAGTGGTGGGCGTTGCGACGCCGGGACCAGGGTGTGCGAGGGCGGGGTATGTTGGGCGCTGGTCGGCGCGGGATTGTGGAGGAGGTTGTAGAGATTGAGGATTCGATGCCATTGTGTATAAGAGAGAAGACGACTGCCGGTAGGGAGTCGAAAGTAAGGAGACGTCTTAAGCGACGTGGACGGCCAGTAGAAGGGGGTGCGCTTAATAGCCACGGACTGTCTCGTGACCGTTGTTTAGGCTCACTGCGTGATTTTGTGCGGCAACCACGCGATTTATTTCTGCTGACTTGTTGTTCGCAGAGGCACTGAATCTAGATGTACGCGTGTGAAAGCTGGTTGGCGGTTGATTGTGGAGGGACATACAGGACGACAGTCGCAAGAAATGACAAAGCAGGCCAAAGAAAATGGGCAGTGACGTTTCTCCAAAGTCCAATTTGCCTTCTTCAAGCCCGCAGGTGGAGACCAAACGAGGCAAACACCGTCAGAACTGGCCCATATCTTGAGGGACTGCAGCAAGCTTTGGTCTTTCTAATATCCACGTGAGAGAGTTGAAAAGGCTGCGTTGCACCACATTGCCGCTGCTGCTCCAATGATTTCCTGCCTGGCTTACGGTCATGCCGTGCCAGGTTGGACATTAGGGGAAGGCAGATTCGGGGCACTCCAACAACGATTGCAGCACAGATTCTTCAACCTTGATACTGAGCATATTGCAGAAGCTGGGACCAACACTTATGGTGGTTGCGTACGCTTCTGCAGGCCCCAACCGACGGGCGATCTCTAGTCTTGTAAGCAGGTCATGAACAATGTCGACAGCGGTACTTGTACGACAGCTGCTGCACGTACACGATTCCTGGCGAATAAAAGGCCGAACAGGCAAGACAACACGCGAGGCACCGCCGAGGGCGAGGCTGATGGATTCAGGGGGCAGTACGCCGTACCAGAGTCGAAGCCCCCCTGCGTTCAGGTACTATACATGCAGTCACGACGATCTGAAAGGCCGCTGGGGGAAAAGCCCGGATTCTTTTGTTCTTTTCGTCAGATCATTTCTCTTCTGTCTAATACTGCATGCTTCGGACGCTCATACCTCATTGCAACCAGCCGCTCGAGGAAATTTTCCCTCCACGAGCACACACAGCTAAGAAGGCCCGTAGTGAAGGTAAAATGCCCAATGCAGTCTATCAGAGTAGTACTTCTTTCAACGTCTCGTATTGTCGAGTAATGCCGTCGCATCACGCCGGCACTGCAGTCCTTCGCTTTTAATGGTATCATGGAAAGACAGCACGTAAGAGTGGATATCGTAATCGATCCGTGGTTGGGTTGAAGATAAAAGTTCTGCCCTCCTCTCGAGAATGCTATGCGCCGACGCGCTAATATCTCCGCAGCGTTGGAGGAGAGTCGTTCTCAATGTTAATTGCCTGATCCAAAAGATGGCCGGCGTCTGGTGTGTCCAAACCAGGCTGCACTCAGCTCTTGTAAAACATCCACATATCGGTCAACCCAGGAGCAGAGTCATCGTCATCACCTTCCATAGCGAAATGCTCGACGCTGGCAGTTTCGGTGGCCTCGCTTCTAGGGTCAAACGCTTGCCGAGGCTTTTCACCCCGGAATTCTTCCTCGAGTCACAGATCCTCATCCTCAAGCTCGGATGGCTTGATGAGGCCACCGACCTTCATTTGTCGCTCGCGCTCCGTCGCAGCGAGGTCGGCTTTCTCCTTTTCGCGTTCTTCGGCATAGAGCTCCGTGTGGTCATCAGCGAACTCCTTGAGCGAGATCAAGAAGTCTCGCACATGTGTCTTGAACTTGTTTGGGTCCTCCGTCAGCTGGAAGAGGCCGGTAACGAAGTGTGTAATCTGAATTTCTTTGAGATTGGAGAACGCGTTGTGGAGCAGGGTAGCGGTAAACTGGCTGATGTACTCTTTGTTGGAAGTACCGGGTGCAACTTCAGAGCCAGAATAGACTGGCTGGGAGATCTTGTTGGTCTCCACAAGTTGGAACATGCGGCTTAGCAGCATACACTGGGTCTTGAATCCGGCCTTGTGGTCGGAATCTGTGAGGACGAAGAAAACATCCTGAAGGATGGGAATGTAGAACTGTCCGAAGAACATGCCAGAAGTCTGCGAATCAGTTTCAGCCATGTTGTTGACCAACTCCAAACACATCGCCAAGCCGGTGTTTTCGACTTCGCGGTTGTCATGCTTTGATGCCCACATGCATGAGTCGATAAGAAGCTTGAATTGACGACCATCCAGCTTGAGAAGAGCTGGGAAGCAGAAGAGATTGATAGCCTGTAGGAGCTTGAAGAACTCAACGCGAAACTCGGGATATTCGTGGAAATCTTTGTTGATCATGTCGAGAGTACATTCGAAGACAGCATCCATGATCGGCGAGATCTTGTCATCCATAAGGTTCTGCGATATGTTAGCACTGTCCAAATAGTGGCTGAATGATCTGACCAGATGCCGAGATCTACCGGGGGTCCAACGTACATGAAGCTTGTGGATGATAGTCGTAGTGACACTGAGGACTTCGGCATCGCGAGCATCGGCAACATTACGTTGGTAATCGAGAAGAATGGCGTCGAGCAGAGGGGGAACCATATTGTCGTTTACCATCTGAAGATCATCCGCTTTCTGGACATAGATGTCCACAAGCTTGAGAATTTCTTTCTTGATCGTCTTCAGACCACGAACCTTGGGCGTCTTGGTTGCAACGTTGCCTATAAACATTAGCGGCGATTTAGACACGGAACCAGAATTGGCCATACCTTGAGCCTGAACGGCGTCCGAAATAAGCTGAGAGGACGCGCGGTACATATTGAGCATGTCGTGGTAGATGCGACCGATTTGAGTGTAGAAATAGCTGCCAATTGACGTACAAGCTGCGACGTTTGTCTTCATAATGTTGCCAATGACCTTGATGGTGTCGGCGTCCTGGAGAATTGCGGGGTCCTGGTTTGCTTGAGAGATGACACTGTCCCATGCTTGATTTGGCAAGGACATGAGATTCTCAATCAGACGATCTTGAACACCTTTCTGACCCTGGGCCGAGATCATGTATCCGCAAGCTTCGTAGAAGGTGTGAACTTGCTGAGGAGTCAGATCGCAGGTGATCTTCCGCATGTTACGCACAATCTCATCAATGAATGGTTCCGTCTCGCCTGGCTGCAGAGCAACAAAGTGACGCTTGCATTTGTTGGCGATTTTGATGAAGGTATCGCAAGCCATATCTTGCACACCCTCATGCGTCTCGTGCATGAACTCGAAAAGCTTGTTGACGACAGTCTTCAAGAACTTCCAATGAGCTTTGAGGAAACGAGGATACTGGCCGACAATATACATGATATTACTCGCGACCACGGCCTTGTTGTCTTTCCCTCTCTTCATCTCAGTAAGCCCCAGGAGATCCTTGATAACGGTGACCAGGAATCGCTTTTCGGTCTCCTCGTTCATGGCGCCTGATATCGAGCCAATAGCCCAACAGAGAGTGTTGCAGTTGTTCCATGACCACTCAGTACCATCAACCTGTTTTGAGAGTTTGTCAGACATGATAGCCTCAGTGTCGACCACGTCTAAATGGGTGAGGTAGACGAGACACTCGCGGGTTGTCTTGTAGAGCTGGATTGTGTCACTCTCCTTGACGAACTCGCGAACGATCTCACCCTCGTCATTCTCCACGATCAGAACTTCCTCTGGGCGAACCATTTTTTCGACCATGACCTGCCGCAGGTTTGAAAGGATCTGAGCATATTTGTGCTTCCGTAGGGGATAATTAGCCAGCGCGCCTGGATGGGGAGCGCCGCCATTTGCTAGACCACTCACTCCCATGTTGACGAGAGGGTTGAGCTCGGTCATTGGCAGCTGTTGCATCTCCTCATAGAGCTCTTGCACAAGCTTAGTCCAGTACTCCAGGCAAATCTTGAAAATTTCTCGGTCGTCGATCATGCTAATCTTGATGAGGTAAAAGTGGCCGTGAAGGAGGAAATCGTTGTTAGGTAAACGCTCGACGGTCTGTAGATGAGTGGAGAAGTAGTTGCATAGGAACAGGGCCAGATTGAGGATGTACTCCTGGTCGCGAGCGCCGCTTTTCGCGTAGGCTTCACGAATATCAGTCTCAACAGGCAGAGTCCGCGCCACGACTGTCAATGTCTCGGTGAACATTTGTGTCAGTTTCTCGTCATACTGGAACTGCTGACTCATCTGAAGGCCACCAATCTCCGTCAGGCACTTCAGACTAATATTCCGAAAGTGGTCAACCTCAAGGAATCGGCTCACGAGTGTGTCGATGAGCTTAGTCTCGAAGATGAACCCGAGAGGGATCCAATTCAAAAACCGTAACAGGGTCTCCAAGGTAGCTTTGACTAAGGGCACACTGTTGGCAGTAGTGAGAACCTCATTGCACAACTGGAAAATGGAAGAGAATTCGTTGCACATTGTGGTCTTGAGATTTTTGGCTTTGGTGGAGGTCATCTGGTCTTGAGAGAAGTCAAAGACCTCTTCTGACAGCAAGCGCAAGATTGCCATATTGTTCTCACACACTGACAGGCTGGAGTGGCAAGACGAGATAATCTCGTTGATAAAGGTTGGCCAATTGTGAGGCCACTCTTGTTTGAGAATAGTGACGAGTGTAAGATCTAGCTTGTTGACGAACATCTTGTTGGCTTTGAGAGACTCTTCGGTCTGGGAGGCTTCGAGGATCTGATTGACAACAAAGTTGCGGATGCCTAGGCACTGGTCGCGTGGTAGGACCTTCCATCGGGTGTTGACGACATCGTCAAGCACTTGTAGGCCGAGATACTTGGTAGGGGCATATTGAGCCTCTTGCAGGATCTTATCCACCATCAACCAGGCATCCGGGTTGGATTTAAACTCATTGAGCTTCTGTTGGGCTTGCTTCTGAACATCGCCCTTTCCCTCTTGAAAAGCCTTGACGGTGGCGTCAAGCTCGGTGACGGTGACGGACATGTCGACAGGTAAGGAGAGGATGGGAAGCGCTCGCAGAGCGGAGTGTAAACTTTCGGATGTGCCCAGTCACTATTAGACCTGGCAAAAAGGCTTTGGTCAAACTCGGAACAGAAGCGCGGACGATGAGGCGGGGCACGGGCTCCAACAACGCTCTGGTTCGGGTAGGAAAGAAGTCTTGTCTGTAAGCAGGCCACGAAGACAATGCTCGCTACAAATTTGCAAAGTAGCACGTCGAGCGAGAGGAAGGAACTAGTCGGCGCAGAGGTGTAGAAGATCGCAAGATATCAAGAGGCGGGCAGCGCGAGTTGATTCATCTCCGTGACGCGCAAGGCTACGTGAGGCTGAAGTCTCATATGCCAAGCTTTTAGCCTGTCTTCTGCCTGAGTCTGTAGGTAGCCCCTCGGGGTTCTTACAAATCAAGGACAGGGCTCGCAATTGGTCGCAGAGAAACTTGGTATAACATCATATGAAGTGTTGATAGAAATGTGCAAGAAAGTATCAGTGACTCGTCTGAAAAGGACTCAATGGTATCACTGTATATATCTAATCGGCGAAAGGTGGCTAAGGGCCGTGGCTCATCAAATTTTCCCTGTTGGGTTTGGATCTGCTCACTTGGTACCAACACCCTTAGTGCGAGGACTCTCGGATCTGAGGTCCTGTCGCTCCTCGGATTCGCGCTTGAATCGCTGATACGCCTCGTCGATCTCCTCTTTACTCTGCACTGCGTTCTTCTCGGTGATTAGATCCTTAAGCCACTTGTTCTCCATCTCGAGTTGTTCAACTTTGGATTGCAATTTCGAGTTCTGATCGGTGATGTCCTTGACATTACGCTCAAGAGCCTGTTCCCGCTGCTTCTTCTTGACTCGGAAACGAGCACTGGCAGCTGTGTTACGTCTCCGTTTATCTTCCTCGGCAGCAAAACGCGATGCATCCTCGGGACTGGCCTGGTGAGACTCGACTGGTTCGGTCTTGCGACGCGACGGACCAGACTGAGCCGGACGCGCGGGTTGAGCCTGAGCGCCTTCGATGGGGAACGCGGCAGTAGGGGCGGGCTGGATCGGCGTGTTGTAGTTGTAGTAGCTGGGGGTATCAGCGGGAGAGGTGGTCACTGGGCCAGCGCCAAAGTTCTGAGCATCTGCACCGACCAACAACTCTTGATAGCGGGTATCGGTCGGCTTCTCATTGTTCATGGTGTAGTTGAAACCTGTCTCTTCGGGCAACTGTGGGACATCGAGATGAGTGAAGTCGGTATTGGTGAACATGGCAAGATCCGATTCGAAATCGAGACCCTCGGGATTGAAATTCTCTTCTTCGTAGGGCGATAGCGAGTTCAGATTGTTGAGATACTCGCTGAAGTTGGGGCCAGTACGACCCCGATAAGCCGACATGACCTTGGTGCAGGACGAGAACGACCCTGCTGAGCTGTAGCTCAGATCAGAGTCTGCAGCGACGACGGTGTCGGTAACGACGAGAGCTGGGTTGTTTTTACAAGTATAAGTGAAGGAGAGGTGGGTGGTGGGGAGATTTTCGAGGGCGTAAATCTCTGACTAATGGCGACGCCGAATGTGGAGTCAGCCGGTGTCGGCGCCGACGAGTGTCTGCGCACACTCGACAAGGACAATATCTCGCAGATTCGTGAGGGTTGATAGATCTTCAAGTCTAGGGAGTGTCCCAAATTGTGGACTAGAGTATTGAAAGGGAAGGAATGGCGCAAGAGGAGGGGAAGGAGGATTTGATACTGGGTGCAGCGGCTGCAGGGACGCCCGTGCGCTTTTCGTTCATCCGGGCCAACACCAATCCAGCAAATCCGTCGCCCGCTTAAGCGGTCTGCAGTGGGGCCCCCCTGCTCGCTCCCCACCAGCTCCCACTCTGCCCAACCACTTAACACGTGCTTGGAAATCAAGCCAGCACTTGTCAAGTCTGACACCTTCGCTTTACATAACCAGACTCTCCAAATATGCCAGTACGATGAATTCCACGCCGATTCACAACGGCCAACACAACGTCTTCTATACGGAGTAGAGCCGAGGTGCGCGATCATCGAAATCGGCCGGAAGGCTTCAAGCAAAGTTTTTGCCATCTCATCATGACGGTTACTGAAAGATGACTCGATCAGCTCGACCCAGCCAATTGGCCACGGACTTATGCGCTCCACCCCGGATACGCTGCACAGTTGCTGTGTGTTCACTCATCAATCGCTGAAGTCTTTCAGCGTCGATTTCCAAGCATCTACGCCTAGGGTGTGACCTCAAGAGTCAGATCAACGTACGCTTGAAAAGGGCTCACATTCAAGCATGAAGCACTGGCCGCTGAGACAAAATGTCGAACCTGAGCCTGCCCACGGCACACCTTTGCCTGATCGGGTAACCAATTGCTTTGGGCCCCCACACTTAGTGTTGACGTGCTCGCTTCTTAAGTAATTCACAATCCGTCAACCGTGTACAAATCACGAGTACGTTCGCTGCTAAACGGCAAGGCGTATCCTGTTTGCCGTCTAGTAGGACGGCTTTGTTGATGCTTCCCTTTGTGTTGATTTATCAGAAAGCATCTTGCGCCTTCAAGCTGTCCCATTGAAGCCATGTTTAGCACAAAGAACGTCGAGTACAATACTAGCAGCTAGCCTGCTCGCCACAAGAACAATACTAACCACAGCAACGAGCTTGAGAGCTACCTTCTTCGTTGTTGAATCCAACCAAGCTGCATTGTCGAGCAGTAATTCTGCTGACCCTTATGTATGATGATGCATCCTCACCTAGTTGTTACAAGTGACCTCCCTGAAAGCTTCTTCGATCATCAACAACGATTTCGAACAACATCAAAATGAAGATTCTCGTTTCACTGTTCCTTCTCGCCTCTCTGGCTTTGGCTGTGCCGTCCCGTTCGCCAGGCCGGTCTGTAAACCCTGCCACTGTTGTCAAGCGTGGTCCATGGTCGCCGCAAGACCGTGCTCAACAGTTAAATTGCATGAACAACGGCGTCGGAGCCAAGAAGAAAATGCATGACTGCAATGGACAAGAACTGACCCCCAACCAATGTCTCAACCTATGCGAGTGCTGGAACGGCGTTGTCAAGTGCAAAGGCTGGTCGAAGTGCAGTGATGAAACCGCAAGTTTTCCCTCCATTTCTCCCATCGCAATTATACTGACGACCAGTGCAGGTCTCACAGGTTTGTCGATGCGGTAACAATGAGCGCCAGACTGGCCGTTGCGATAACCCTGGCTCTCCATGCCAGTGCAAGAAGAAGGGTACGTTTCCAGCGGAACTGAGTCAGGCTGCGGTCCCTCCCTCTTCGGCGGGAATCAGTTGGGATCAGAACAGCCAAAACTTTCGCGCCGATCAGAATCATGACTCGAGAAATCCCTTCGTTGAGCAAGACCAAGATGCCGCGAATATTCACTAAGTAATTCTGTAGGGCCTTAAATTCCTATATTCCAACGAACCAAACCTTGGCGAAAGATCTATGGTTATGTCACATACTATTCCTGCCCCGTTCTCGATTCCAAATGCCATCTCACGGGTTTATGGTAGCGCAAGCCGTTGGTGGAACTGGCATGCACACATGTTTTGAGTCTCCGGTCCAGATGCGCGTCCCCAAGTACTGCAGATCGCTTGCCTGCCCTTGTGTTGATCCTATACTTGACCATCACAGCCGCGTTGCTTGAGTATATGTAGGTAAGCTGGTGCGAACACTGCACTTCTTCAATGATGAAACTTGATGATGGTCAGAGCGTCCTGGACGCCCTTCTTGTTCATGTTGCCAAGCTCCTTTGTGTACAGGCGAAGCACCGACTTTCAACATTGGTCTCGCTTTAGCGGGCCTCTTTGTTGGCGATACCTGTCCAGTACAGCTGGACTGTAACTACTCGTTATTCAATGACCAATAGGCGTTCTCCCAAACATGGTATGGCCTCGAGGTGGTGCTTGACGCCAAGCGTGATCACTTGGTGCTCCAGCAAGTGAGCAGCCATAAGTACCTCGTCTCCCACTTTCGCCTGTGCTTGCGGGACGGCCTTCCATTACTTAGTCCCTGTAAACAAGACGAGCTCGTCTGGACTGCTCATCGAGCACGATTTCATCATGAAGCCGATTCACATGCTAGCCATCGCTGGGGTGTTAGCACCCACACTCGCCCATATCGCCGACTGCACATTCAACACCACAGTTCCAGATTCGGGTGACTCGTGCGCAGCAGAGTCGTCTAGAAACATGTTGACTAGCCGCGGCTCCTCGGATGGGAAGACAGACGGCAATCCCAATTTTCAGGGCCTGGATGATGTGTTGATCGCCACCGGAGGCCAGACCTACGACTGGGTCTGCAAGTCTTACGACACAAACCTGTCTTGCGGTCCAGAAGGCGAAAAGCTGACGCATGAGATGTGCAGTGCGATGTGTAGATGTCACTTGCCGGCAACTAAAGGATTGGAGGGAAAGAATGAGTGCATCCCATGGGGGTCGTGCGACCAGAAAACGGTGAGTACCCATCCTCCTTGATACTTCCGAAATGGATATTGGCTAATCGACCAACAGCTGCAGGACAAATGCAAGTGTTGGGGCGTTCAGAAGGTGGATCAGAAAGTGGTTTGTGGGAAAGGGCCGGTCGATTACCCTCCATTTCCGTCAACCACTACCAAACGGCCTGCAGCTACTCGCATCAACAGGATCTTGAAACCTGTAAAAGACATTGAATGGGTCAATTGAGGCGATTCTCGGCGTGATGCCAGGCATGCAAGACTTGTTTTCTTAATGTGATGTTGTTCGGAATATAAGTGGGATTAGCAGGACTAGAAGCTCGTAAGAGGTAACGCCGGTGTAGTGTACCAACATCGCAGTAACAAGTCATTATGCCTTTAATAAATTATTCGCACTTTCAGACATGCAGATATGCTGTAATAGAGGTCATTCACGGTAGTGTGCAATGGGAATACCACAGGACAATCAGTAACGAATGCTTGGCATATGCACGAGTCATGAGTAGAGCCGAACTGCCTGATCGCCCCCGCCGACATGAGTCAATGTTTACAATCCGAAAACAGCCCCCCAAGCATCTAATGCCAGTGCTTTTGAATCTGTTGATGGTTGCGAGATTCCTCTCACACAACAGTGTTATGACTTCAACGTTAGTAAAGTCGTTGTCGCGACTATCGCGACCAACGCTCATCGACCTTGCGCTGCACTGGCTCGACAAACACGCCAGCTGCGCGCCCTACCTCGCCTCGAACCGCACGATCGCCGAGTCAGACGAAGAAGATTACCTGTTTCCTCCAGCTCACTCGATCGGAGAGCTGCGGTCGATATGGAAAACTCTCAAAGTTGACGAGGACGCCGGTTCCAAGCAGCATGTAATCGACCGCATCGTTGATGGTGACTGGCGGCGGGGCCTCACCCTCTACCAACACGCGACCATCGACTTTGCATACCTCACGGCCAATGATACAGCACTTCGATGGACTGCATTACGCCTCACACCTCTCGAATCGTCTTCATCCCTCACAGCCGGCGCATCAGGTGAAGCTTCCGAACCTCCTGTCGCGAAGAAGCGCAAGACCAGCCACGGAACCGCTCCACAAGTCTCGTACCCGACCATTTCACCCAGTACCTTCCTCCAGACCCTCAAAGCCTCCCTCTCTCCGCTCCTCAAAGCAACCTACCACCTCACCACGCTCAGCATCTCTCCCAATCAGCGTCTCCCAGTGCTCCGCCTCTACCTCTCGCCCAACACCGCCTTCGCCCCCCGCTCGTCCAACATCCCACGCTCCGCCCGACACGCCACAGATACCGGTCGCGTTATGTACATCGCGCTCCCACAAAGCTGCCCCTACGTCTACGTCAGCCTCGCAGGCGCCAGCGCCAGCGCCGCCTCATCCACCGCACGCGGCAGTGCCGGAGCTGCAAGTAATGCCAAAACACAAGCGCAGCAGACCAAGATGGATGTCACGACCATGAAGCGGCTAGTGATCGAAGCGATCCCCAAGGCACTGTCGCGGGCGCACGAGCGCTGGGCTCTGGAGGGCACGAAGCTGACGTGCAGGGGCTTGAGCGCTTTGGGCGCACTGAGGAGCGGCGGCAGACCCGGCACTGCGGGTGGGGCGTATGCGGTGCTGCACGCCGAGGGAGCGGGCAAGGAGGCGGCAGAGCCTAGTCCTGTGGATGTGGCGGCGAGAAGCTATCCCAGTCCGCCGCCGGAAGGGGATGGAGAGGCGGATGGGGAAGAGGCGAATGCGATGTTCTTCCCTGACAAGGCGTCAGGGGCGACTGAAGACAGCGAGAGAGCCAGCAGGAAACGCAAAGCGGAGGTTGATGTACGGTTTGGTCCTCAGGACCAGGTCAAGAGGGCGAGATTAGATCGGGTTACGGCCAGAATCGCTGATGTATGCCGCCCAAGGGGAGAGGGGAGGGGAGTCGTGGATGCCGCGCCAGTAAGTGTGACGTTCTGTGGCGCGGATGTGCATGGCGGCTTGAGGGCGTTAGCTGAGCTTGGAGTGTTGGATCTGCAGTGTATGCCCGGATGGGTTGCTGGTGAGGAGGGTCAAAGTGTGATTAGTGTTTAAGGAATTAGTAAAGGGAGGGAGTTGATGAATTCACGACGTTACGCTTTGCTGGACCACAAGGTCTTTTGGACGGGACGGCCGCGGTGATGGGATATTTGTGGCTCGACAGTGTGAACAGTGTACACGCTCTCCCGGGGGCAGCAGGTATTGACGACGAGCGTTATTGCACATTGGACATCAGAGCATGAATGGAGCAACCTGGCTGAATTTTCAAGTGATCTTTTTGATTGATTGAGAAGACATCCATCCGCTATGCTCCCCCATGGTAGCATAAGCAGCCCCTTCTGCTTGGACATCTCCTTGGGATATGGCAACCTCGGACTGGCAAAACGCCCAGCCCCAAGCCTTCTTGATCTCGTGCTTCATCGACGCCGTCCAGGCCGCAGGGGTTAGATGCAAGCCGTTTCCGACACCGTCATGTCGTGCCAATTCAACAAGTCCATGATCCGTCGCTCCCCTGCTTCTTTGACGAGCCACGAAACTTGGCATCTTGATCCGTATGCACACCTGAAAAAGCAAGCGCACACACACACGACATCATCATCTTCATGTGCGTCCTCCTCGCACCAGCTTACTTCCTGATCGCACGCTGGTAGAACGCCAACTCATCACCCTCCAGGATGTAGCCGTCAACACGACCGCTCTGGCCCGGCCGCGAGCTGACTACGGCATACAGACGACCAGCCTCAAACTGACGCTCGAGCGCATTGTCGATCTTGCCCATCTTCTTGACCCGCTCGTCACGCTTCTTGGTCACGCTGTTGCTGACCTTCTTGTCCTCGACGGCCTCGCCCTTTTGCTGCTGACGCTTGCGGCCGATGGAGGTGCCGTAATGGGTCTCGTACCAGGTGCGGAAAGGTGCGGCATCGATCTGCACGACGGCCGACTTGGTGAGGGTGTTGGTGCGGACGAGCTCGTTGTTAGATGGGTGGTAGGACACGACGATGACACGGGTCTTGCGGGCTACACCCTCGCTGCCCCAGCTGAAGTTGCCTGAGTCGAGGCGCAGAGCTCGGAATTTGCGGTTGCCGCCGCGCACGCGGACGAGATGGATACGCTTGCCGCCGATACGGGTGTTGGCTGGCTGACGGCCCTTCTCGAAGGCTCTGTCGTAGGGATTAGTATGGGCTATTGTTGATGTGGGGGAGTAATGGTTGGGCTTTACCTCTTCTTGCGGTAGGAGGCACGCTTAGCACCAGAGGCGGACCGCTTGTGGCGGGTGTCGCGGGAGATACCCATGATTGCGAGGCTAGAGAGGTCTGTATCGAAATGTCAGAGTTGATGTTCGGTTGAAGGTGGTGTGTGTGTGCGATAGAGTGCCGCTCGTTGGGTGACAACGACCAGTGTAACCGGCGATCGGGGTAGATGAGGTAGACTGACCTGACGCTTATCAGTTCTCCAGAGTGCAATGCACAATTGTCGATAGAGAGAGATTTGGTGATGTCGATGGAAGTCGGTCGTTCAAAGCCGCAGGTAGGTGTGCGGCAAGTGAAAATTCGGACTTGGCGTTAAACGCCAAGGCGAACTTTTGCCCACACAACTTCCCGTCATTGCGCAGTGCACCTCGCTCTCCAACTGCAACACCAACCTCGACAAATTTCAATTCTCGCATTGTACGCGATCTCCCGAAGAGCGCCAGAGACTCGCGACAATGTAAGTTGCCTGCTGATCGCTCATCATAGAGCTGTCCGCTAACACAAACGCCAGGCTCATCCCAAAGGCCGACCGCAAGGCGATCCACGAGTACATCTTCAAGGAGGGTGTACTCGTCGCCAAAAAGGACTACAACCTCCCCAAGCATGGCGACATTGACACCAAGAACCTCTACGTACGCTCATACCCTTCCCACTGACCCTCAACTCTCCCATACGCTTCCCGACAATACTAATATCTCTGCAACCACAGGTCATCAAAGCCTGCCAATCCCTCACCTCGCGCGGCTACCTCAAGACCCGCTTCTCGTGGCAATACTACTACTACACCCTGACCCCCGAGGGCTTGGAGTACCTGCGCGAGTGGCTGCACTTGCCCGCCGAGATCGTGCCCGCCACCCACATCAAGCAGCAGCGCAGCCATGCCCCGCCCCGCGGCATGATGGGCGCCGATGGCGGCGAGCGTCGCGGCGGTGGCCGTGGCGGTCCCCGTGGCGATCGCGAGGGTGGTTATCGTCGTCGTGACGCTGGCGGTGAGCCTGGCAAGGAGGGTGGTGCCCCAGGAGAGTTCGCCCCGAGCTTCCGTGGTGGCTTCGGCCGTGGTCGCGGCGCGCCGCCTTCTTAAGATAGACCTGTAGATGGGACTTTACGGCTCATCTGTGAGGTCTTCACGAGGGCAGAGCCGGGTGAAATGGATCGCATGATCCTGATCGGCTGGGACCCCCAAGGTTGAAGAACTCTTGTGGTTGCGGTTGACCTAGGTCCGTCCGCTGAACTCGGACTAGATGTAGAGAATCAGTGAGATGACGAAAGGCATGCTATAGCCCATGCTCAAATGAAAACCAAAATTTGTCCAAAGCCATGTCCGAGTGAATGACTTTTCCCATTGACTTCTGGTCAGAAATTGCACCAAACGCACGAAGAGGGCTGATGTAGCTTCCGAGCTGATTGTCTTCATTGCTACGTGCATACTCGTCATGCAGTAAATCTATCTCGGGAGCTGGTTGACGCTCTACGCATCGTCTTATTTGTCTCCAACAGGCTTTGCTTGCCTGACGACGGAGGACCCTTTCACCACTGCACGCTTTTTGCCCCTGTCCCTGGAAGCTATTCGCACCTCTATACTTGCATAACCCATCGTCATATGTCGTCCGTTGTGTGGGCGACTTACGAGTCTGTTTTGCACGCTCGCCGTCAGCTGGACTTTGCACCCATGTGTTCTTGTGGGCAACTACTGTCTAACGCTTCGTAAGTTAGCTAGTTCCTCAACAGCGACTTAGGCGCCTACCTCAAGCCTCCTTCCAGCGCAGACAAGTCCGCTTATCGCTCTCCTTGTCGATCTTTGGCTCGAAAGAACCTTTGCCAACGCGGCTGTAGGTGACAAGGGCAAATGCAGCAGTCCCAGGGACCGATGCCGCAATGGTGATCAGAGCGAGCTTAGGCAACGGAGCATAGCGAAGGATCTTGCGACGGCGTTCTGCAGCCACAAAATGGTCATCAATATTCTTACGGATGGAGATGGCGGACTCGGTAGGCTCGGCCCAGATGCTGGTGTAGAGCTGCAGGTCAAGCTTGGGCTTCGGCTTCGGCATAAGTGCGAGGTCAGTCAGGGTCTTCATCCAGTTCTCCTCGTCGTGATAGAAGACCAGCTTCAGCTGGCTCAGAGAGCTGCAGTCGCTCTTCAGAGTATCCCAGATGGCGCCCAGATCGACCAGACCATCAGTGACCCGAACCTCAAGTTTCTGGAGGCTGGCGAGGGCCAAATTGCCAATGAATGAGAGGGCTCGGTTGCTGACCAGAGGCTGAATCAGACAGAACGTGTTATCGCCATACAGCAGTGGGATAACTTCGGCGTGAACGGTCTTGGAGACTTTGAGGAGAGGGATGAATCGGCGGGATGATTTCGTACCGACGAACGCGCCTGGATTAGATATGTTGCGAGGATCAAGAGCAATTCGACTTCGTTGGGAGATGATGACACGGTAGATGCGCATGCGAAGCTCGGCAGGCAGGTTCATGAAGCGAAAAGCCTTGTCTCCAACATCAATGCCGCTATCTTGAGCGGTCTGAGAGTCGACCTCCGGATCGCCTGACTCGCTAGAACTTGAGCTGAGTGATCCGAATAAGAAACCATTGGTGGCCATGAGACCGTGGGCATCGATAGAGGCGGCCATGACGATATCTGCAAGCGTAGTTTAGGATACTCGCCTTTAAAATGGGTATCGATGGCGTGAAGCTGCAGATGAGCTGCAAAGGTGGCAAAGTCGCTGGAAAGAGAGCTTGCAATTAAGTACCTAGCTATCACCTGCGTGAAGGCTGTGCGGTGAGACTGGTGAAGGGCGATGTCGAAACCAGCGGTGGTCGTCTCACTCGTGCCTCATTTTGACCTCATTCCTGCATCACCCCAAGGCCTGACCCAGGAGGTAGGTGCGCGGTGGCCACCTGCGGACCGTCACTCGTTGGTCACAGCCTGCTCCCTGCTGCAAATCCATCTGTCAATCCGACATGCCTCGTCCGCAGCCGACAGAAGGCTCTGTGGCCCGCGAAGACAACGAATCATGCTCTCACCATGCGTCCTGTTAATCGCCACCGACCATTGACGATTCACGCCTCCTTCCTTGCGCTCATGCCGAGGGCTATGGTGTCCAGGAGAGATGTCCTGGCAGCAGACCTTACCGCAGGAGAGATTTTATAACTTACCTGAGCTCTCGCTTCACCGTGACCCTATCTGCAACAGACCAAGATTACAGCTTGAGTGGGACATTCGCGTCCTTCGCCCGTGCAGAAGTGAACGACACAAACGAAAACATGGCTGTGCTGAAATCAAGCAGCTCCCTCATGGGGCATAACACGCGAAGATCGTCAAAGAAATCATATTCGAGTATAGTTCGGGAGACTAACCGGAAACTTTCTGCGGTTCTCGAATTGATTGCATTCTGACGTGCGCACGACCAGGAGCTAGTCCCCAGCACAAGCGGGCGAGGAGTAATCTAGACTCCATGGACGGAGCACTGGTACCACCGCTGCAGTACAGAGTACCGGGAGGACAACTCAATGTGTCTAGGTACTGCCCACACTGAGAGGAATGGAGTGGGCAGTGGAATCAGGGAGCCTGAGATCAGGTAGGTGGACAGCAACTTGGAAAGGTTCGGTGATACTTAGTAGTCCGTGCTTGGTACTCCAATATCCAATATCGCCAACCTGCCCGTCCCCGTGCCCAGGTCCCCTGCCCACTGCCGATCTGGGTCTCTCAACGATAGGCCAGAGACAACAAGGGTCGGACATGCCCCACCACCAGCCCGCTGGAGCTTAAATAAACATCGACCAGACACCCGGGTCAGGCCCTCCGGTGACAAGCTAATGCTCGAGCACGCACTACAAGAATCTTAAGCACGAGCGTAAAGGAGCTTCGACAGGACTTGGCTAAGATAAGCACGCTGACTTGTCCGTTCATCCTGCCCATGGCTGGGACGCTAGATTCCTCGATAATTGCCCGGAAAACCCGGGTGAGGGGCGTGTCCGAGATTCCACCCTGACCCGAAACCACTGCTTCAAGTTGTTGCTCGAGTGTACTGTGCTGGATGGGGGACGCGACGCAGAGCTGTTCGAAGCTTCGGTCGAGGTCGCCTGCCTATCTCCCCAGGACTTTGCATCGAGCAGAGATGCGAAAGATCCTGCTCTTGGTGCCCATGGAAAGGAAGGAATACGGAGCAGGTTGCTGGTCTCTTCTAGCTTGGTCTACACCCACAGCGAAGAGTGCTGCTCGCCGTAATTGCCGAAGACATGGACGTGCAGCGAAAGCGACGCTCACGCATATGGCCGAATCCCCGGGAATCAAGAAAAAAGTGCTTTTCGTGAGATAGATCGTCTAACAAGAACCGCTCGTATACGAAACATATTTATTACAATCTCTCGTCCCTCGGCTCCGTCTTGACAGACCAATTCAGCTCCTTTCGTATGATCATGCGCCGGCTCTCATCGCTGCCAATGCTAGCCGTCTCATTGTTGGCGCCCGCGTCACTGCCGCTGGTTCCCGCACTCCAATGCGCGGTTGCAGCGCTGCCTCCAGACCGGCCCGTCAGAGGATCAACCCCAAAAGGCCGCTGCACCTGCTGCGGCAGGTAGCCCGGCTCATTCTCCTCGCTCGGCTCGTCAACGGGCACACTCCTATTCACAGAGCGTAGCTTTGACAATTGGTAGCTTGAGCCGGCGGTCTTGCCGCCGTGGATGCGACTGCGCCCGTAGCCGGAGCCGTAGCCGTCGCTGCTGGTGGCGCCGATGCCGCCGAAGCCCGTGTTGAGGGATTTGAGGAAGTTGCGGAACGTGGGGACCGTGGCGGTGATGAGGCTCGCGGATAGCTCGCCTTGCGTCCAGGCGATGAAGGGCGCGTTGGAGAGGAAGGGGTCGGTCGTGTAGCCGGTGGCGTCAAAGGTGTGGATGCGGAAGGCGATGAAGATTAGGAGGCTATGTGGGAGAGTTAGACTGTTGGTGTGTCGAGGGCAAGTCAGGACGGGGGCTTACACGAGGCGGAAGCTGAAGATGTACACGACCATGGCTTTGCTGGTCCATGGGCTCTGTAGGCCGTAGACCAAGTAGACGACGAGGCCGATGATGGCGATTTCGGTCGCTAGATCGAGACCGCAGATGACTTGCCAGCGCAGGAACTTTGTCTTGGTTAGCGACGAGACTTTCGAGGACCATGTGTGATACTCACTGCTCCCGGGCACTGTGCACCCACTACGATCCACGGTCGCGCAAGATCGCATTGGAGGGCGAGGGCAAATATCGAGCCCACGACATATGCTCCAACGACGCCAATCGCTGCGTTGAAGACCAGTCTGTGAGATCTCATTTGAGATGTGCGGTGGAGGAAGGCGATGACCGACATCTTGGTAAGGCCAACGGCCGTGATGAAGAAGAAATTGCTGGTGTAGTACATCCTCTGAACATCCGCCTGAGCTGCGCTTGACAGCAGGTCGACCGACTTTCCCAGACCCCGGGAACATGCGCCAAGTATGATACCGGTTTGAATAACGGCGACGGCGGTCGCGGCGTAGAAGAAATAGTCGTCGTTGCCAAAGCTACCGGTGAACATGGTTCGCACGAGGACTCGGACTGCACCAAACAGCATGAAACAGCAAAGTCCTAGTATGGAGGCAATGTATATCCATGCTGTATGGTCGGTCGGCGTCAGGATAGCCAGAGGAGGAGTGAAACCCTCGGGAGTGGTAGAAGTGGAATCCATAGTGGTGAGACGGTCAGACGGTCACAGTCCGCCAGGACGCGTCAAGTGGGAATGTGTTTGTAAGTTGGTTCAGCACTTGTGGGAAGCTGAGCTGGAGACGACAACTTGACAGCCGAAGATCCGCCATGCATGCGGGTCTTCCAAGAGCGAGAGCGCGCCCCGTTCTCTTGATATTGCTGGATCTCGTACCTTGCACATCCTGGGGGGCCGACTTGTAGCGCGGGACGAAATACATGTACAGAGAACCTCGTGGCAAAACTACCATCTTGGGCCTGAACCATCAGGGCGCACCGATAGTGGTCTGTCGTTTGTCAGCCTAACGTGGGATATACACTTGGTGAACGAAGCTTCTGCAAGCTTGGAAGACCAGGGCATCACCCCGGGGGCAGCCTTTCAGAGGGCGCTTGTGGAACCACTGAGTGGGAGAGTTTGAGGTCGTCCCGAAGCTGGACCTGATGGTGGAGGTAGTCTTGAGCAAATCCCGCAGCCGATGCACGATAGCATCCGAGATGGGTGGCTGATGCCAACTCCCGTAATGTGTCGTAGTCAAAGCGATTGACTGTACCGACCCCACCATACCAAATGACACACTCCTGGAATCCTCCGCAACTCTCCTGGCTGGGTGAGATGATGCGCCATACTTTTAGAACAGCACTTGGGCCGAGATAATCGATCAGAGTTTGTACTGACAGGATGGATTGTGGATCGTCTTGACAGCAGCAATTGAGTTAAGTCCGGCGCTGAGACGGAACGCCGTCGCCAAGCTAAGTCGGCCTTGTACTGCAGGGACGTGCCCTTGACAACTACTCGTACGTCAATCCAATCAGTCATGCCCACTTGTACTAAGCCAGTGAACTGCACAAACCCCCCCTCGCTTCGCTGTGAGCCTAGCCATGGATATCCACTGCCACACCATTCCCCTGTCCATCCCGGAGGACCCAATTCATGCAATGTTCCCGCGCGTGGCAGGTAGCCGTGCCGGTGCCGCCTAGCCACAACGTGGTTGTCTGGCTTCCTTGTCGATCAATGGCGTTTGCTTTGCTCTCTTCGACTTACAGAAACATCTCTTCTTCTCCAGTTAAGCATCGTGAGTGCAGCAGTCATCGTCTTCGTTGTTGTAGCGGTCGTTCTCGTGGCCATAATCGCTATGGCCAACCTTAAACTGGACAACAAGGACATCTCAGCCGTCCAGATGGCTGAAGCGGGGAATCTCTCGCCCAAGGTGTTCGATGAGGGCATCAGCAATGTGCCGACGAAATACAGAGGCACAGATGCCGACAGAAGAGATATGACAGTCTTGGGCAAGAAGCAGGTGCTGCGTGTAGGTAGCCCCTTTCCAGGCTGCTGCTTGGGCGACATGCTAACTGTCTCGCCAGCGCAACTTCAACTTCATCACCATGCTGGGCTTCGCCTGCACCTGCGTGGCAAGTTGGGAAGGAATCCTCACGTACGTCCATCAGAAACCTGACGATGTCTCTCACTATCAGCAGCTGACGAGGCCGTAGCTACCTGTACTTCCCCCTCGTCGATGGTGGCACGCCCCTGTTGTTCTGGGGTTTCATCGCCTGCGCCATCGGACAGACCTTGGTCTACGCCAGTCTGGCTGAGATGTCATCAATGTACGATCCCCCGCAGAACGTGATCCGAGTACGCGCTTGCTGACCTTGAGTGTGCAAAGGTCCCCGACCGCGGGTGGTCAATATCACTGGGTGTCGGAATTTGCTCCGCCCAGTCTACAAAAGATACTCAGTTACTACTCAGGCTGGCTGACTGCCATTGGCTGGCAAGTCTACCTCGCCAGCGTGTGCTTCCTGGTCGGAACGCTCATGCAAGGCCTCATTGCATTGAACAACGTCGATTATAGCTTCAAGCCTTGGCACGGTACTCTCTTGACCCTGGGAGTAGTGGTGTTCGCTATCGTGTTCAACACCACTCTCGCCAACCGGTTGCCTATCATTGGTACGTGTGACACACGCAACATTCATCTCGCTAGCGGTCTGACTTGAGGCAGAGGGTCTGATTCTAATCCTCCACGTTTTAGGCTTTTTCGCCATCATCATCCCTCTATGGGTAATGGCACCCCGACGATCCACCGAGGACGCTCTGCTGAACTTCACCAACAATGGTGGATGGTCAAGCACAGGCCTATCTGCTATGATTGGCCTCCTGGCACCCATGGCCGTACTTGTGGGCTACGACTGTGCCGTGCACATGGGTAAGTCAGGCTCATCATAGGTCAAGGCGCAAACCCCTAACATTTCTCGTAGGTGAGGAGATCAAGGACGCCTCTATCACTCTTCCCCGCGCCATTATGGGCTCTCTTGCTGTCAACGCCACCCTTACTTTCATCGTCATCATCACCATCTGCTACTGCCTAGGCGATCCTGAAGCTGCTGCCGCCTCCACAACCGGCTATCCCTTCATCGAGATGTTAATCAGCGGAACAAGATCCTTGGCTGGTACCAACGTCATGGTAGCCATTGTTATCATTATGTTGGCAGCCTGTGGCATTACCGAAGTGGCCGCCGCATCTCGCCAGATCTGGGCTTTTGCTCGCGATCAGGGTCTTCCTGGCCATCGCTGGCTCTGTCGTGTCTCTCCGGGCTGGAACATTCCTCTACCGGCTGTGATAGTCTCGCTGACCATCTCTGCACTGCTGTCCCTGATCAACCTCGGTTCGACCGTCGCGCTCAACGCCATCACCTCGCTCGGGGCCGTTGCTGTCCTCAGCTCTTACTTCCTCACGATTGGCACCCTCGTCTACCGCCGTGCTGCCGGACCCGAGCTGCCCCCTCGTCGCTGGTCGCTTGGGAAGTATGGCATGGCGATCAATGTGGCGGCGTTGTTGTTCCTCATGCCCCTGATCTTCTTCCTTACCTGGCCCCTTGCCACCCCCGTCACCGCAGCGGGCATGAACTGGTCGAGTGTCATGCTTGTCGGAACTTTGACCATTGCCACCATTTACTACCTGGTCAAGGGTCGTCACGAGTACGTCGGACCCAGCGTTCTGATGAAGCGCGAGTTTGAATAGTTCCGGCATTTAGCGAGTTGGAAAGCTTATCGACGGAGTAGTGCGAGCTTGTTCGTTTCTCTCGACAGGAGATCTAAACACAAAGATAGAACACATCTAAGCATCATCTGATCTCTTCAGCTGCTGGGGAGCGAAGCATAGAGGTATCTATGCTGCTGATCAATATGATCTCTCACGCTGTCTACATGACATTTTGTACTGCCTCTGTCGAATTCTTCGCCTTTGCGTATTCTTTAACGCGGTACGCTGCTGTGGCCATGTCGTAAAGTGAAGCTGGGCTGCCCATGAACCGAGAAGATGACAGCCTGTATCGTGGCATGCGGAAGGTGTTCGTTCCGTATCAATAATGATGCAGCGCAGCTGTCTTACACCACCATTCGCCATCATTGCACGCGGGTCATCTTTGATATTACCCGACATTATCTCAGTAGCCCTTATCAATGCACGCAGTGGCCCTGAGAAGTCAACGACGGAAAGCTGGCATAGGGCGCCGACCACGTGACCGGCATCCCCGCGCAGGAAGACGCACTGCAGCCGGACAGCATCAATCCTCCAGTCCTGGACCCTTGATCCCAAAGAACGATCTACCGGTCGGCTAATGGACTACACGCAGCAGAGAGTCGCCCTTAGCAACGATCAAGGATCAATAAGTGATACTGAACGCCGAGAAAACGGCGGCGCTCACGGGCTTGAGATGCGGACCTCGAGCCATCATCACATCTTTGAGAAACACTTTGTAATCTCGGCCGGACTATACGTGGATCTGCATGGCTTCGACTAGTACGCCGGGCCGTGGTGTCAAACGCATCTTACAGGCTTGTAACAACTGTCGACGCAAGAAGACGCGCTGCCCCGGCGAGAAGCCAAAATGCTCCAACTGCACACGCCTATCGCAGCAATGCCAGTATCCGGGCTACGACTTCGAAGGAAGCCAGCACCTACCGTCGTCGAGTCGCACTGTCGAAGATAGGCTTGCGCAGGTCGAAGAGAAGCTTGACCTGATCCTCGAACGGCCAGTCGGGTCTCCCAGACAAGGAGAGACGCCTCACACATTGGACGACCGCCACGATACATCGCCGCCCACGTCTCCCTCTACCCAACGCCCAAGAGCGTCTTACTCTAGGCTGCTACCACAAGATAACGTGATCAGCAGAGCCCTTGACGTGTATTTCTTGTGCTGCCACCGACAGCCGGTCTGGCTTTTCGAAGCACGAGGCGACTTATCATCAGATTCAGCTGAAGAGCTTGTTCTGACAATCCTTGGCCTCAGCACATTGTATGCACCTGATGAGTTCTCCGAATTCCAGTTGCGAGACCCTGGGGCATACAACGATGCGGCCCGAAGTCTGATCATGCTAAAAGTCGCTAATTCGACCGTGGACATGTCCATGTTACAGGCCCTGTGTCTGCTGGCGTTTGCGAATCTTACCTCTGCCAATCTGCAGCTGGCATCTTTCCATATCGGTCTAGTAGGAAGCCTCCTACAATGCTCTGGCCTCGACAGTCACATATCGCAGGATCGAACATCCTCTCTCGAGGAGCAACGACGATTGTTCTGGAGTATCCGAGCGCTACATGCACTATGCGGCCTCCACACGAAGGCCGCCTTTCCAATCGACATGCACGCCCCACGATACCTAGTGGTTGATGAGACGTTGCGTAACACCGGCACACAAGCCCCGCTTTTGCCGCACGAAACCCACAATGACCAGGGCCAAATGGCTCTCGGTGTTTGGGCTCACATGGTCAGGAGTGCGACTCTGTGGGAAGAGGTCCGACTGTACCTGGCAAGATGTGCGGAGGGTCAAGCGAAAGATCCCTGGCATCCTGAGTCTGGCTATACAGCTATCAACGCGCACCTCTTCGATATGGAATGTGCCTTTCCTCAGTCGTATCGTTTTGACTCTGCCAAGTTTCACGAGCGCTCAAAGCACGAGATTTTTGATAAACGCGATTTCTGGCTGCCGTGGATGAAGATCCAGGTCACCTATCACACTCTGTACTCAGTCTTGAACCACCCGTTCTTATACTCATCACGGGCCACAAGACCGAAACCCGGTCCAAACGGTTTTTGGAAGACGTCGACCGATCTTGCCCTTTTGCACAGCACATGGATAGCCCGATTAATTGGTCTGGCAAAATCCAAAAGTCTTGAGTTAGCCGATCCGTTCTTCGCATACGCGGCGTCGGTAGCAGTGACGCTACACCTCTACTGGTCTCGGGCCTCAGACTCCAAGATCCGCTCCCCGGCGCAAGACAACCTTGCCACCTGTCGGTCCTTCATTGCTGATATGGCTACTCATTGGCCTATCTGCCAGATGATCGTAAGTCCGACATATCCTCCAGATGATGCGCAACATTAACGAAAGCGGTAGTCAGACGATGTCGACAGATTTGTGCAGCTGGTCTCTTCATCAACAAGCCCGGTCCAAGGACACTCGAGCAGCTTTTCAGCACATACTTCATTGATGTGGAAAATCCTGCGATTCACCACAATGAGCCACTCCAAACATACCGGCCGCAGCCTCTTCCACCCGTCCCTCGAAAACTCCGTGCTCTCGAGAGCAAGCAGCCACGATCAGGTTGCCATAGACGAGCCGGAGCTGGACGACCCTCCTGAAGACTATCAAACCTCTACTGGCGCGTACGCCGCGCCACCTGACTGGTACTCTCCCATGACCAGTTCCTCGCCGCAGGCTACGAGACAGCAACTCGAGGGACAACCACATATGTTCCGGGAGTCGTTCTCTAACCATTCCTTAGAGCAAGTCCCGGTACAGCAAAATCATCCGACAGCGGCTGTCTGGACGTGGCGTCCGGGTGACGCATATACGGCGCCCGACCCGTGGTCCCAGTTCTACGAACGTGGCGGAGCTGAGCAGGGATGGTGGGAGTATGGCAACCTCTAGAGTGAGAAGTTTACCATCTGCTGCCGACTTTCAGTCAAAATCATCCACCCAACGGGGAACAGTGATACCGGCTTAATGCTATTCCCCTGCAGAGGGTTTTAGCGAGCGCACGAGTCAGACATGATGAACACAACTGTTGTGCTTTGCTTAATGAGGGGGCTTCCTGGGCGAGGTCAGCCCTTACAAAGATAGCCTATGCCTTGATGCCACGTTGTTGCTTCCCTGCCATTGCCTCAAGAATCTCGCCTCGACAACAACACGCCCGGCCACCAGCATCTGTCCCTATTGCCCATTCCCATTCCCTCCGCACACCAATCTCTCGGGGTCTACTCGCCCCTCCCTAGTCACTCACCACAACTGCACATATCCCAAAAACCGCCTCCACCTCGGCAGGCGATAATACTCATCCAACCCCCTCACCTCGTCCACCGTCAGCACCCTCCTCCCCGTCACCAGATCCGCCTTGGCCGGATCCCGCCACTCCGTCCTCATCACCACCTTATAAATCCCCGTGCCCCCCACAATCAGCAGCAAGCCAATGATATACTGGAAGAAATAATACGGCGTCAACTTCGCGCCGTTGAGCGGCTGCACCGCGGCTTGGATGCAGCATGCCGTCAGCAGCAAGGAGACGAGGAGCAGCCACGCGGGCATCAGGGGCCAGCGGTAGGAGGTCCAGGCGTAGGGGGTGGTGGTGGGGTGGAGGAGGGGGGAGGACTGTGCGCGGAGGGCGGCGTGGAAGCGGATTGAGGTGTAGCCGATTATCAGCCAGTTGACGAAGAAGGCGGTGCTGGAGATGTTGACGAGCCAGATGAAGAGTTCGTAGCCGCCGGCTGGGGAAGGGGGTGGGAGTTAGTGGATGTGTGGTATTTTGAGGGGGACGAAGGGAGGGGGGGGGGCAAACTTACCGCTCAGGCTGAGGTAGCTGAGGAAGACGCCGACGCCGCAAGTGATGGCGAGGGCCCAGCGTGGACGGCCTTTGTCGTCGACGGTCGCGAAATACTCGGGAATCAGCTTCTTGTGCGCCATGGTGCGCAGGATGCGGGATGAGAGGTAGATGGATTCGGCGCCGATGGCGAGGATGCCGGTGATCATGGCGGCGTTGATGATGTCGGGCACGACGGGGATGTTGGCGTCGACGACGGAGATGACAAAGGGAGAGGCGGTGACGTCGGATCCGCCGAGGAGTCGCTCGTCGTTGGAGGGGACCAGGAGCGTGATGAAAACCACGCTGAGCATGTAGACGATCCCGACGCGGTAGGGGACCAGTTTGGTGGCGTGGGCCATGGAGAAGCGGGGGCTTTCGGCCTCGCCGCCCATGATGCCGATGAAGACCTGGTCGCCAACGCCGGCGAGACAGAGGAGCGCGCAGTTCGCAAAGCCGGTGAAGCCGTTTTTGAAGGCTGGGAGGTCGCGCCAGTAGGCTCCGTCGTGGACGTATCCGCCTGGTCCTGCGCCCGCGACAAGGCAGAGCGACAGGATGATGATGAGAAGGAAGAGGAAGATCTTGACGACCGAGGTGACGTATTCGAACCAGGCAAATATCTTGTTCGGCAGGAGGAATATGACGAGCATGATGACCAAAAAGATGGTAACTGTGCTCGTTAGCAGGGTCATGGAATCCGATGCTGGTCTTGCTCACTCGAAGCTGGGACTGGCAGTGCCCCTCGTGCCCAGAATTGGACAAACAGGTCGAAGAAAATGGCTTCGAGAGCGATGATTGCCACCCAGGCTGTAGTTGTGTCAGCGATACTACCAGGGACGTTAGATATGGGTTCAGTCTCGTACCCAGCCATTCTGCAAAGCCGGCTCCAAAGGCCAATGCCGGGTCAACCCAGCGTTCGGCGTAGTCGATGTAGTTGCCCGGAGTCGGAAAGGCGATGGTCATTTCTCCCAGAGTCTGTAGCACCGCCCAGACGCATGTGCAGACGAGTGCATAGGCGATGACCATGTTACCGGGGCCGCCGCTGGCAAGGGCTTTGCCCGTGCCGAGGAAGACGCCGCTGCCGATATTGGATCCGAGTGAGATGATCTATGGTCCGATTGTCAGCGCTGTCATACCGGTACCCAGGGAGTCGACTAACATGGATCTGGCGAGGCGAGAATGAGCGGTGAAACTGTCCATTGCGACTGTCTTTGATCTCTGCCTCCTGAATGCTGGCAGTGTTTTGTAGGTCGAGCCCGGACTTGAGCTCTGTTGCGTTGTCCGTGGCGATGGATTTGTTTTCTGCCTCCATGCTGGCTATTGTGTCAATGAGAAGATTTGTTCGATCCGGCAGGTGGCAGTCCACAGTAATATGAAGGGGAGTTGCGGTTATTCGGTTGGCGAGCTTATCTTAGCGAACGACCGATGTATGGCAAGCCAGACAGGCCCATTAATGCTCGACCGACCTAGCGCCGTGTGCTGCGGAGAAGCCATCGGTACAGATCAGGCCCAAAAGTCCTTGAGAAGGGACGAGTTCCTGATAGCAACCAAGACTAGCCATGCGGAAAAGAGTGGAAAAGTGGATGCTTGCAACGACCATCCCCGCTCAGGATATCCCCACTAACGGCTTTGCCGACGGCAAGTCCGCCGACCACAGTCCGGGGTAGAAGTTCCTTCGGCGGCAGACCAAACGTGGTAGATGGAAGCAAGGGACGCGGAGTATTGTAATTCGACATGTTAAGCCTGAAGAGCGAGACTCTTGATAGGCACCATCTCTCTAGAGCGCCGGCCAAGGTAGAAAGGGGACTCAGCGAAGTGGTAAGCGATGAGCTTCTGGCAAGCCATTGAACACACCGAGCGCGTTTTTGAACAACTATCAGGCCTGAAAACACCCATATCTATCGATGGACGTTACCGAGATTGGAGACACTCGCCCAGCAGGTACCGTGCTACTTGTACTGTCGTCCTGCTGAAGCTGGTGGTCCTGATGCCAAGGCCAGATGCTCCAATCCGGCTTAGCGTAGAACGCCGGTCGCGCCCACGAGAAACACATCAAGAACTTGAAGTTCACTTTCAAGCACCACAATACGGTCTTTCTTTGCTTTGCGAACATGGCTCACCTGGTAGCTTGTATGGAATCGTTTACATCTGAGGCTCGTGTTGACAATGCTCATCGGAAACGAGTACTTTGGATCAAGAGACTTGATAGTGATGTTCAACGCGTCCCGCAGCAGCAATGCACATCGCCCGGATTGCTCGCGACGTCACCAGAGCCTGAACACGGCGGCAAATAAGCTCGTGCTTGAGCTTCGCTTAAAACATAAAGGAGATCTTCGTCCTGATCTGTGCAAGTGACGCTTGCCTATCATGTACTGTACTTCAGTCAGCCCAAGGCTAGCATAGGTAAGCCAACCTTGCCGACCACAGGAACGCCGAATATCCAGTGGTTGGACATGACTGCCGGCGCAGTGCACGGCCGGTCCAACAATTGTTGTACTTGGAAAGGCTCACGTCCCCACGTGGCTCCTCTCGTGTCCGTCGACGCCTTCAAATCTGGGGAAGCTTTCGGCTTGGCGGCCAGATCAATGGTGGCTGAAACCTTGACCCCAAAACAAGGCAACAAGCAACTCTGCCCTGGCCCAAACCGGCGTGCCCATCGTATCCAATTTCGCTCACCCGCACGTGGCGCCTACATCCAGCCCATTATTGAAGTCAAGCTCTCCCCAAGCTCTCTGTCTTCATGTCTTAGCCACAACAACATCCGCTTCTGCACCGGCACTCGGGCTTCGAATCTGGCCTGTTCGCTCGTGTCTTCTCGGATCGCCCGACAAAAGATCCTGGTGTCGGGATCTTAGCGCCGTGAATGCTTTCCAAGTCCCAAGTCCAAATGTGTACGGAGCTAGCCCAGAGGCACCCAACAATGCTTCTTCTGCATCAGCTGAACGATATCACTCAAGCCACAAGCAACTGTAAAGGGATCTCACGAGCGCCTCTCAAAACCTGGCTGTATTCAGCCATTATGAGAAAGCTATGTATACCCTCATCGCCCGCCGAGGTCATCTTCGAACCTTCAACCTGCTCAAGACCTTGTTTCGATCCCATCGTCTGACCCCATACCTTGTGCAATATGCACGTCCACTCGTTCCTGCCCATCTTGGGCCTCACGCTCGCTACTATTGCCTCCGCCCAGGACAACTCCACCCAAATCCCCGTCGTTCAGGCTGGCGCTGTCAATCCGGTTGCCAACACCAAGCGCTCTCTGATTCCTGCCTCGGCCGCTCGCCGTAACGTTGGCAAACGCGCCCAGAATGGTATCTGTGATGCTCTCCCCAGCAAATGGAGCTACATGGGATGGTAGGATCAAGTCCATTTTTCGGGCTCATGTCACTCGCTGACAATATCTTCACAGCTTCAGCGATAGTCCCAGCGACCGTGTCCTGGCTGGCGCGAGCGAATGCCTCGATACCAACGGCCCCGATGGCATGACACAGGAGAAGTGTATCGAGTACTGCGACCAGAAAGGATACTGTGTGTTCACCTGCGCATTCCTGCTGACATCATGTTGACTGTTCCTTAGCTCTTGCTGGCGTCGAATGGGGCCAGGAGTGCTACTGCGGCTACGCTCTCGACTCGTCTAGCATCAAGGCTGCAGAGAGCGACTGCAGCAAACCCTGTACCGGCAACACCGCTGAAGTCTGCGGTGAGGGCGGTCGCATCAACGTCTTCACCAACGGTGACACAGCTCCTGCCATCCTTGCTGCCACCGGCGACTTCACTTCCATTGGCTGCTATTCCGATTCTGCCTCGGCCCGCACCCTAACGACCTCTGTCAGCCTGCCTGGCAACGTCAGAGTCAGCGACTGTACCACGGCTTGTGAAGCCAAGGGCTTTCAGTATGCTGGCCTTGAATTCGGCGGTGAATGCTACTGCGGAGCATCAATCCAAAATGGTGGCGCCCCGATCGCTGACAGCAAGTGCAACATGGCTTGCTCGGCGGACAAGACACAATATTGCGGTGGTGCTGGTGCCATCAATATTTACAAGAGCAACCAGCCCCAACAAGGTCCCAGCACTATTCCCGACGGTTGGTCGTCAAAGAACTGCTACACTGACAGCCCATCCAACCGCGCCTTGTCTTACCAGATCCCCAACTTCAGCTCCTTCAGCAACGCTCAGTGCATCTCCGAATGCTCCAGCCGTGGCTATGTAAGAGTCTCCTTTCACATACCGACTCAGTACTAATGCTCCACAGTCCCTTGCCGGCAGCGAGTACGGCTCCGAATGCTACTGCGGCAACACCATCGACAACGGCAACAGCCCCGCCACAAGCGGCTGTGACATGGCTTGCAACGGCAACCACGCCGACACCTGCGGTGGCGCCGGTCGCATCAACATCTTCACCAACGCCTGCAGCGGCACCCCTGGCTGCCACTACGGTTATGGCCTGATCCGTGAGATCGACTACATCTCCACGCACGACTGCATGGCCCAATGCCATGCCGACCCCGAGTGCCAGTCTATTCAAACCGGCACCGAGCACCTCAGCGGCGACCTCGTCTTCTGCAATCTCTTCAAGTACCCGGTTGCGGTCGTTCGTGCCCAGGGCTATGACAACGATGCCCGCTGCAACTCGTTCACTCTGTACGAGAGCAGCTGCGCTTTGTAAGTGGTTGCCGTCATGATACGCGGGGACTCTGTTCATGTGGAAGGCGTTTCTTTTCGTAAGGTCCTACATAAAATAATGGCCATGTGGTGTGTTGCAGGGTTGGCTAGCCTTGGGCTTCAAGCCCTATACGGCTCAATGAAATTTCTCAAGTCTCAGACCGCGCCGCGTTACTTTTGCGCATCTTTTTTTACATTCCAAAAGGGATACTGATGGTATGCGTCTTCAACTTCGCTCCGCCATGCTCAGCGTGTCGAAGACCCTGACTCAACGATCCAGCCATCCGAGGCAGACTTGCCTCGAGTGTTCATCGCCCATCGTGTTTGGGAATGCGTTAGTCACCCATCATGGGCGTAAAAGCCAAGCCAGCGTGAGATGGTGATGTGGGTTGAAAGAGGCAGGCACGCGTCGCGTCTGCCTGCCAGCGCGTCCGTCAAGTTTGTCTTCTGTGCTTTGTGCTTTGTGCTTTGAGGACTGTTCCTGTAATTCTTCCATTCTCTGCGCGCGATTTTCTCCTTCTGCTCAGCAGCTATGCAAAAGCCCGAGTCCCAGTGTCCAAGTATCGCTTTCGTGCAGCAAGTGCAGATACTGCTCTGTTTTTGACATTGACCTTCAGCATCATGTCGAACTTCTTTGATCTGCCGGTCGAGATCAGGTTCATGATCTACGGCCACGTCGTCCGCGACGCAAAACTCAAGTTCCTACCGTCAAGCCCGATAACTGTACCCAGTGCTCAGCGTTCGAACATGCCGACCTGCACTGCCCTCCTCACCTGATCTAAAGCGATCTACGCCGAGTCTCGTCCTCTATTCTACCATGCCGCACGTCTCGACGTCACTGCAATCCTCGATGAAAACACTGGCGTACTTCGTGTACCGTCCACAGACACCATTGAAGCTTCAGGGAAAGGCGCAGTGATAAACCTCGATCCAAGCCTGCTGCAGCACATCAAGTTGGACCAGTTCAAGCTCGCCGGTCAAGGTACCAAGCAGTTCATCAAGTCTTTGACGAGCCTTCAGTCATTAACTTATACCGGACTCGACACTTATTTGTGTTGGACGCAAGATTTCTATGAATCCCACAATAGCACATGGGATCTTGACTCTGACTGCGGCTCGGACTGCGGCTCGGACTGCGACGGGGACTGCGGCTGTACACCTAACCCGTTCAATGAATTTCTCCTGGACTATCTGAAGATGGAAGTCAATGACTCCCCTCACAAGATTGTTGGTAGGTGCTGTGACCCCGGAAGTGCCCAAGACCACGAGGAAGACTGCTTAGGCGAGAAGCCCATCCGAAAGTTCGTCGCTGCTTGGGACTGGAATGATCGACCTTTCAAGCTTGTAGCCGAAGTTACTTTCGACGATTATGGCAAATCGGTCTTTGCGGAAATAGTAAGTCATGTCAACCCAACCACTAGCTCTCTACGCCGTCTGACATATGTTGCAGTACAGTATGGTCGACCTTGACTCCAAGATGATGAGAATCTTCTCAAGTCTGGAACCTGATAATGTTCTTGGGGAATTCAAAGTTGATGGGCTCAAATACTAGCAGGCCGCCCTACAGATGTCTGTTCCCGAGAATGCTCTGCAGAGAGGAACAAAAGGGGGGCGGAAATTACCTCTAAAGAGACAAGCCTATTGCCATCGTTAAGAGGCCAAATGAACCATGTCTCTTAACAACATCTGTAAGCCGAGCAGTGATCAGATCACCACAAAAGTACTTAGATAAACAAGGACTGCAGAGATACCACCAGGGGCAACTATGATATGAGTTCGTGTTCGCTCTCGGGGCCATCACACGTGGATCGCCGCTAGGTGATCAGGCCCTATATCCGCCACTGACGAGGCTAGTGCATGGCTTTTGGTGTAGGGATACCTATCCACATGGAAATTCGATGTTGACAGAGCATCTCCCAACGTTAGCGATAGTCATTCGTGCCAGTACAAAGGCTTAGTCTTTAATCAATGCTCCCTGTTTACGTTAGTCAACCCGTTATGTTTGTCACACAGATCAACCAACCTTCTGGACGGCTTCAGCATTGACTCTCATTCGCCTGGTTGGTTCTTCGCCGAGCCACCTCGGCTGCTCAGCATAGAAGCTGTCTTCAAACTCCCAACCATCACCACCTTCAATATAGATCGCTTTGCCGTTCATCTTGTCAGCACATTGAAGACCAAGAATGATACGTCCCACGGAATCCGGGGACTGGCAGTATAGCCCTGCATCTCTAAACTTTTCCGCTATGCCAACGATCATGGGTGTGTCGGTGACTCCTGGGCAGACGCAATTGACTCTGATTCCGTCTCTTTCGTAGACGATTTTTCGCATTGAGCGCATCAAGCCCTGGATTGCATGTTTCGATGTCTGCGAACCCACCCGGGTTAGAGATTTGAATCCAGTATAATGATGCCACCACTTACCTGATACATATACAGACCAGGACTTTCACGGAATGCATTCACACTCGACACTAGGGTCAAACTGCGGTTCTCCCCCGCGCTGACCCCATGGCGAAGAAACACGACGCCAATGCGCGCAAAATTCGCACTTCCGAGAACGTTCACGTCCAACACCGCCGTCGTAGCGGGTCCCTGGCCGACTGATTCAATCGTCAAGGAAGGATCGAACCAGGACCCTTGCTCGAAGATTCCAGCGCTAGAGACTGCATGGTGCACCTGGCCAAGCTTGTCATGGGCGGACTTGAAGAGGCTGTACAGGTCTTCATACTTGGTGACATCACAGTGCTGGAAGGAAATGCTTCCCTGATGTGACGACTCCTTCGAGAGCGACGAGACCAGTGCCTCAGCTTGTTGCGTGGCGATGTCGCCAAAGAATACGTTTGCCCCGGACCTGACGAGCAGCGTTGCTGTTGCGGCTCCTATGCCAGTTGCAGCTCTAAGTAGGGTCTTGAGCAGCCGCGTTGTGGCTGTTGGAAAGAGAAAGTGCTTACCCTGTCATCACAACATTCTTGCCTTTTAGGCTTGTGTATGTTCGTTCATCTGGGACGAATTGAGCCATGTTTTGGGTTCCCTGCAGGTTGGGTCTCTGGCGTATCTGTTGGAGCACGGACGGTCTGGCGCTTGAATCCTCGTTGATATGACCAAATGGATTATCTGGGAACGCTCCTCACTCAATTCTCAGACTTCAGCCAAGGGAATAGGGCGTTGAGATGTACAAGTCCGTTTGTACCCGAACCCGGCACAGCGGGGGTGACCGAGCGCCTAATCACGGTTGGCTCGGCTCATCAACCGCGTTTAGTAATTCCGTTAGCCGTTTATCGTGCAGTGCGGTCGGCAATCTTGAAACGCTGAGGATGGAAAATGAAATCGAGACTCGGTTGCTCTCAGCCCGTGTGATGTTGGACCCACGGCAAATTCTTAAATCACCTCTAAAAGCAAAAGGTAAAGCTACGAGCTCAGAGTATTGTCCATCGCACAGCTTCCTAGCGAGGACCCAACGATGCAGCTTCTGGAGCATGACTATGGGAGTAAGGCAGCTGTTTGCCGCATGCATCGCATTGCTCACATGAGGCAAGTCTCTAGAAGTGGATCATGGTTCCTGCATCTCTAATACTAGAGTGGACGAATGTAGATTGTACTTGAACTCAATTCTGACCTCGTGTCAAGACAGGCGAGGGACGCATGGAGGAGTATCGCTCATGCTCCAGCCTCCAGAAGATCTCAACGAAGAGCAAAGTGAATGTGCATTGGGCTAGGCATAACCGCTGCCGCTGGACGCATGTCTTGGGATTCGAGCTGTATAGTATGAAGCGCAGTAAGCTCATGGTATACCCATTTGCGACTCAGGATCGGACGCTTCGGGTCAACTCGCACCGGGACGGTAGTTCAAAGTTGTCCAAGGTGCGACTTATCGATGGATCATCCGCAATGCAATTTGTGCAGCAAAGAGACCTGACGACCTTCGGTCCACCTGCTGCACCCAGTTTCTAGATACAGCGAGTCTACTTAAACGAAGTTACAGGACCGAACCTGTCACTGGTTTCCTCGAAATTGCTTTGAGGGACAGGAACTCGTGCGGACCAGTACCAAACTAGGTTGCCAGGCTTGGGGAGGCCCGAAAATGTAAGTTAAGTCCGGCGATGTGCGAGACATTGAGCTTGCAGCACGTTGGGCATCGTTACTGTGATGCTGAGTCTCCACCACCGCCCGCTGCTACTAAACCTCATAAATACAAGAGGACTTCTAAGTATACAATAAGAAGCGGCTATCAAAGTAAGGACGCGCATTGAGTTCCACTAACATTGACTAGCATGGGAGCAGGTCACGCTATGTCCGGATTGGGAGCATAGAGAATTGTCCTGCTATTTGGTGTTCCTGAGGAAGATAGAGCCTCAACCACGTCCGGCTCTCGACGAGATCAGGATCCGTGGTCCCAGCCTTACCGCGATCGGCCCAGGTCTCGATCAAAGACTTGGCTACTTCGTAGTCACCGCTTTACCGCATGCGAACAACTTACGATGGCTCGGGGACTCGTAGCCGCGTAGGCTCCTGACTCCGAGAATCCATCAATTCCCCTGAAAGGAATGTATGAACACGGAACGGGAGTCACCATCCCACACTATTACGCCTGGGATGAGGCTGCTAAAATGGCCTGCCCGTGGACGTGGATTTTGACAACGCCCGACTACGGTGAGGGATTTTGCATACTGCGGCATCCCTTGCGTTGCACCTTGGTCGTGGGCGGCCTGGAACCTCACCGGTTAGGGTCAATTCGCGGGGCGTGGGTGAAGCAATCGCCCCGACCCTGGATTCGTGGCCTCGAAAATGCAAGAACCTTGTCTGTCACAGCAAAGCCAAGCCTCTCATCACACCGGAGTCCTCCGGCGCATTCAGTCCGCAAAAGCCACCTGTAACCTCGTCATTTGAATACGGTCACGTCCGCATGTAACGTTCAACTTCGTTACCTGAAGGCACAGTGGGAAGAGAAAGGTCAGCGCCTGGTCCGCGCGTGTACATTTCTGTAGCAGCCACAGGAAACCTCGACAATCCTTTCTCGAGCCTATCTGCCGCCCGTTGCATCTCTGCAAGACCGGGAAGCTAGGCAAATCATGTCTCTACTGGCCAAAGGCCTGGCCGCGCAATGGAAATTGAGCAGCGGCAGACTGCATAGATTTCAAACCTCCGACAGCCCGGAGGCGACTGTGAAGTGAGTCTATAGCTGCTATACCTGTAGTTCTAAACCTGACGCTGGAAGCATTATCGTGGTCCCAGAATTCGGCGTCAAACTGCCAGACACTCCCAGTCGGCTACCCAAAGCATGGAGGTGGCTCAACAGCCTCCTCTCGTCCTGTTCTACGGCACAAATCTTGTTGTTCGACATGGCATGTCCGACTCAGGATGATCTTTGGCCATTTCTCGAGCGTAGTGCCCTCGAACTCATCGAAAGCATGAGGCTACACGCCGTGCCCTGGCAAGTATGTGGAATGTTTGTCAAGACATACGAGCGGCGGCTAAGACTTGCCTCAGTTATTGGAACTCCCACTCGTATTCATCAGCCACGGGCTGGGAGGTCTTGTAGTAAAGGATGTGAGAACACCAAGACCCCTAAGCGAACAGACTAACCATGTTCCAGATGCTGAGCACGATTTACAAATACTACTATGATGTCAAATGGAACAGATGGATGCCGGTCCTATCTGGTGCCTGCTTCTTAGGCACGCCTCATTCGAGTGACACAGATCGTTCCAAGCCAAAACTGAATTTGATACTTCGAATGCTCAAATTGAGCACAAAAGTACTATGTTCGGCAGAAAAGCACTCGAGTGCCTTTCTGTCAAGTGTTTGTTCGCGCTTCAACGAGGTCGGCGGTGACATTGGTGATGATATGCGTATCATGTCGGTCTTCGAGGAGAGCAAAACCAAGATCCGGGATCATGTTTTCAAAGCCACGGCTGAAGTCGTAAGTTTCTAGACCGTGAAGGAACCTGCTGAAACTGCTGGAACTGCTGACAAGCGATAACAGCTGGTTGATCGGCTCTTTGCCGAAATAGGTGCTCGGCGCGAGATCCTGTTGGGCGCAGCAGCGGACCACAGGCTTATTTGCGACCTCTCAAACAGCCAGGAGGCACTCCAAGCTTTGAGGACGATGGTCAGAGACGCCCTTACCAAAAAGGACCATTTCGCAAGCCGAAACGAAGGTAGCCTTCCGCTTGCAGCAGCCTCTGGGTGATTGTGTATGAATACTGATAGAAAACAGTCCAGGAAGACGGCTCCAGCGGGTTTGAGAACCCGTGGGTCAGCACAAGTTCTGTCATCGAGATCGCGGAAGGTAAAGACTGCTTCGCCTCTGCTCACAAGGAGCTAATACTGTCCAGCGACCGACTGGCAGCACAATCTGCCGGTGCGATCCGGTCAAGCCACACGAGGCTCGGGATCTACCGAGCACCTCTCAGCCAGTTTCGAGCCTGTTCCGCCTGCGCTTGATGTTGTCGAGGACGGAAACCCCGTTTTACTGCCTTGTTACTTGCTGGACTCGTGGACCCGGAACCCTGCGTTCAAAGGCCGTCAGGAACTGATGCGGGAGATCGACCAGGCTCTCCTCCCAGAAAACCAGGATGTAAGGAGATTGGCCCCGTTCGCACCGTTATCTACATTCGTGCTTTGCGGTATGGGAGGGTCAGGCAAGACAGAGATTGCCACTGAATATGCATTTACGCGACAGCATCTCTTCGACGCGGTCTTTTTGGTGAATGCCTCAACTACGGCGAAGCTGGCTGAGAGGTTCTCGCAGATTGCCACTAAGCTTGGCCTAATCACCACGGAAGAAGCTATTGACCGGGGCGTCGCACGAATGAATGTTCTCAAATGGCTTTCAGACCCCAAACGTAGCATCAAACCGGGGCCTGACGCAGGCGAGGGGCAAGACGTGGAAGAGAAAGACCCCGTGAGGTGGCTTCTGGTATTTGACAATGCAGACGATCCACGTTTGCTGACGGACTATTGGCCGTCTGCAGGTTCCGGCTCAGTTCTTGTGACCAGCCGTGACTCTGTAACACAGAGGCATCTTGATGCGCCAAACGGTACGACCCTTGGAGGTCTAGCCGACGATGAAGGTGCTGCCTTGCTGCAGCAAGTGACGCACGAAAAGGACGAAAGCGCAGACTTTTCTGCAACCAAAGAAATATCCCGGCGCTTTCTCGGGTATCCTTTGGCTCTCAAACTCGTCGCAGCGATGCTGAGGCGAAGAGACCTTACATTTTCGGAGTTCTTGAGGGCATATCCAGCCAGCAAAGCTATCAAGGACCTCTATGAGCCCGGCTTACCTTTGCTACAAGATGCGTACGGGCACAACATGTCTACAGTCTGGTCCCCGCAAGACTTCAGTGCGCGTGCCCTTGATCTCCTAGGGTTCTTAGCGTTGCTTGACCCGGATCGTGTAGATGAGGAGCTGATCGTACACGCTATTTCAGCCGTCAAGTCACCTCATTTCTTCACCGATGAGGCCGACTACTTGGACGCGCGAACCGACCTTCTGAAAGCTTCATTGATCCAGAGAGACAAAACAGCCGGGCGTCTCACTATTCATCGACTAGTCCAAGAGGCTGCTATATTCCATTTTCCAACAGGAAGGCTTGGGACCATGATCAGCCTTGTGATCGATGTACTTGCGGCAAAATGGCCATACCCAGAAGATCGATATACTCACGATCCGGAATTGTTCAACGACTTTGAGACTGTTGCGCCGCACATCGCGAAACTGCAGGTATTGTACAATCAAAACAACTCTTTCAGCATGGACTTCCAAACAATGCGGAAGCTTTGCGAACTCTTACAGCAAGGCGGGTGGTAAGAGACTGCAACTCATTGTTCGACCTATATCTAATTGGTTTCATTAGGTACTTGACCGAGCGAGGCAATTTCGACGAGTCATTGGAGATGTTCAAGACCGCGCTCAGAATCTGTGAAACCTATCCGGACAAAATGGAAGAGCTACTAGCGGACTGCTTGTTCTGTATCGGCGATGCATTGTCTGAGACTAACGAACCAGCTGCTGCGCTCGAGTATGCAAAGCGACATTACGATGTTCGGCTGAATCTGGAGAAGGATAGGTCAAAACCGTCGCTGTATGGCGCACTCGCGTACAGCGAGCTCGGAAATGCTCAGATGCTTAACGGTCTGTTCGAGGAGGGCATAGAAAACTGCAAATCAGCCAGAGCCATCCAGTTCAAGGACCAGGAGTTCCTCGACGGGACATACTGGCCCTATTTTTCCACCATACAAATGGCTCTGTGCTTGTCAGCGCTTGGGCGCTCTGATGAGGCGGTGCCTTTGCTTCAGGAAACCATTGATTGGGGTATCAAGTTCTACGGGCCAAAGCCACGGACGTTCAAGTATGTCGAGTGTTGTCAAACCACGTGTCTCCTGTTTGAACTGCCTAACAAGTTGCACAGGCAAGGCTTTGCATACTACGCCCTGGGAAATGTCTACGAAGATCTTCAGCTTACTGATGAAGCATACAATTGCCACAGACAGGCATTGGATATCTTGTTCGATACTCGCGGCAAGCACTTCCATCGTACCGGCACGGCGTACCTGAAGATGGCGGAACACGCAAACAGGCTCTATGAGTACGAAGCAGCCAAGTAAGTCAAGACCCTCCATTCTGGATGTAGAGAACGTTGCTGATATGTGATCAAGCGTGTCGTTTCAGGAAGCGATAAAGACGTTCGGCGGCAGGAAACAATATGAGCCTGAGTACTGTCGCGCGCTTGCAAAATCCGCAGCTTTTCACTCGTCCATTGGCAATCAGGAGAGAAGCACAGAGGAGTGGAAAGAGGCTACTAAGTTACTCAACACCCGACGTCCGGGGCGAGACATGACAAGAGAGCCGTCTATGGAGGATTTTGATGGCATTGTTCTCATTTGGTCCAGGTGATTTGCGAGGCTAGCCAGCCATATATAGGATTCGGCGATATCTCCTTCAAGCTAGTAGAACCTCAAGTTGGCAGCACTTCGTTTATACCGGCGGACCAGACTTACCAGTCTGGTCATCACTGCAAAGTCAGAATGGTAGAGTCTTGCCGTTCCACTTGCGGAATTGTCCGGTATTCTCCAGCGTCATCTCATCCGCCAACTTGATCATGCCGCCCACTGAATCTTCAATTTTGGTGTTGCCCTTTCCCTTGGTCATACGAGTTGGTACCCAGCCTGGGTTGACGCTCATGGTCGAGATCTTGTGCCCTTTCGCTTTGAGCTCCTGGGCGATCGTCATCGTCACTTGGTTCAACCCAGCTTTGGCTACGCGATAGGCGATACATTCACCCTCGTCATTATCTAGTAAAGTCAAGTCAATCTTTGGATCCTGCCAGAGGATCGTAGAGCGTACCGCCGATTGAGCCAAAGTCAGAAGAGATGTTCACGATCTTGCCGGCATCACTTTTGAGCAGGTTGGGCAGAAAGTGTTTGGAAGTAAGGTAAGGGCCCTGCAAACGGTGAGTTGAAGTTGGATGGGCCACCGATGATTGGGAACTATACCACTGCCATGATTTGAAAGCGCTCCATCAATGACTGTTGCGAGTGTTCCAGCCATGACTCGGGATAGACGTGTACACCTGGCTGCGATTAGCAAAAGCGTACATTGGTCTCATGGCCACAGACCTCCATTGTTGACGAGGATGTCCAATCGTTCGTCTCCGTAATCTTTGGCCGCTTGTATGATTGTCTTCTCGTCAACGAAGTCAAGCGCCAAGATCTTTGCGCCTGTCTGCTTCAGCTGCACAACCAGTCAGAACATGAGAATGACAGATTGGCGGCAACGTACATCGTCCGCGCTCGCATCACTCATGCTGTCCGGACGAATGGTCCCGGTCACTTCACAGTTGAGAGCCAAATACGACTTCACAAACTGCAAGCCAATGCCTCTGTTGGCGCCTAGACATCCATCAGCATGGCGAGGAGTGGTCTGGAGATCGTGCGACTTACCAACAACCAATACTCTGCTTCCGGGGAGAGGCATGTTGGCCAATGAGTCTCACGGTCGGTTGCAGATACACAGAACAATGTGAGATAGGTCAAAAGTGAATATGGTAGAGATCCCAAGTAGAGTCTACTTCAGCCTGATTGATATAAGACCCGCAACGAAGAGTGCCCCGCATTTTCCGGCTGCCATGCCAGCGCGCCTGCAGCTGCACTGTTTGGTACCGTACCGTTATGTAACAGAACGGTGCTTGGGACGAGCCTCTAATTTCCGCCCTCACTGAGAATACTAGCCTCCGGCACATCAGCACTCGAATTCCTCGCTAAGACCAGGCGCAATGAGTCGGTTGAGAGAAACTAGCAGTTGCCTTCACATCGCGACTCAGCCTGACATGGCCACTTTTGCCACCCTTCGCCATCGAGAGGGCTGAGTGTGCTCGTAAAAAGTTTCTCCTGGACACTTGATAACAGGCCCTCGATCATGGGTACCCATCAGTTTCTTTGAATACGTTGTTCCTGTTCGGAGAACCTGCTTGACAGACAATCCCGGAGACCCCTCATGGCTTCAGCACCGGCTGATCCGACCGACGCTCAGACCGATTCAAATGGAGGTGATCAAAGGGATGATCGTGCTCATGAGCCTGGTACGTCACAATCACCGACACCTCACCTAATTTACATGATTCAGATCGTGCTAATGGGCGTCTTTTTGAGCAGTGAGAACAAGCGAGAAATACGGGAGCCTGATTCTGCAGCATTCGAAGAGAAGCAGGCTTCGTCATTATCACACAGGCCTGAACTATCGCGCTCTTGCAAAGTTTCTTGAGCGTGAGCCGCAGCCTGTGTCTCCGACTCAAGGAAGAACAGATTCACATGACTTTCTTGTGATCCGCACTTTTGCGAGGGAACGCGGCGAGCGTTCTACTCGGACTTACACAGCCAACGATGTGCACCGTTTCGAACAAGCTCCTTCCGAGAAGAACATCAGTAAGGTCATCTTTATGCGGGGTCTAGCATCGCGTGCCTGGCTCAATGCTCTTGGGAACCACTATCGCCTGGACCCAGAGTTTTTCCGTCGCCATCTCGAGTTCACCCCGTCTATCGACTATCACGACCTGCCGTCCGTCCCTTCGGTTTCCCGAAGAATGGTGACTATTCGCGTTTCCACGATATTCCGACGCCGCACTGCGTTGCCTCAAATCGAACTACAGCATGCCAGACAGGGAGAGGACCTTGCCGTCCGCAAATATCAACGTGAAGTAGACCGTCACGGAGGGATTGGAACTTCAATCGTTCGAGGCCTGTCGTTCCAGAACGAGACGACCTTTACATTGGAACAAGCAATGACCATCTGCGCCGTAAAGCAAGATGATGATGTCCGCGGTTAGTCCTCAATCTTCAGAACCATATCTATGAGAAGCGACTAATCACCGCACAGTCATCGTGTGGATGGATGCCGGTCTACACCTAGACTCCCTGAACGCGACTAGGACTTTGACAAGGTGCGGATCGGGAGATCTAGAATGTGCCCCTATCTTCCAGCACAGATACAAAATTGCCCTTCAGACATTCGAGGACGCTCCAGAATCAGGCGGCACCTTTCGCGAACCCTCGACTCAAAGCTTTGCCAATCTAGCTTACCATTACGGAGCGACCCTCGATCCGAAAGCGGTACCGCTCGATACGATATATGCACTGAGCGAGCTGTTCAGTTTCGCGGCCCACGCAAACTGCCAGTTGATGAACCTACTCCAGGCTCAGATCACGAAGACGACCAAATCCTTTCGCGAAGACATGGAAAGTGCTCTCAAAGAACTCGATTACCTACGGGAAATGGTCAAAGACCGACAACAGAATATCGCTGAGGTAAAATCTTGTATAGAGGGAAGAGGCGATCCGAAATGGCCCAGAGCAGACCTCGCGCTTGAAACATGTAAGACTTTGCTCACCGACTGGGACTACCTACATCGACGTTGTGAATCCCTTACAGCACAATGCACTGAGGGTGCGAATATGATCGCCAACGCAGCTTTGCTCGAAGAATCGAAGAAGAGCATGAGTCAACAGAAGAAGGTCAGCAAGCTGACCCTGCTAGCCTTTTTCTTCCTGCCCCTACAGCTGGCTACTGGGGTCTGCGGGATGAACTTCAAGGAGTTTGGCCAAGGAGAACGTGGCATTTGGTGGTTCCCAGTTATACTGATTCCAATCCTGGCAGTTGCTCTGATCCTACTATTCTGGGACGGACTGACTCCCCTCCTACGACATGACCAACGGCAACAGACGACTGCAGCAGAACAGGCAGAACATAATGGATCAGTGTCATTGAATATGCCCCAGACATGGGATGCGCCTGCGCCTGCGCCAAATACTTCGGCAACAAGGAGAAGCTCACGCCAAACCGGGGCATGAACATCAGGGTATCTTCGGGGCCTGCTAGATCTTTGCCTTTGCCCCTGCATCAGTCGAGTGCGTCAGACTTCTTTCCAAGGACTTGGTATCGAGAAACGTCAATGCTGCTAGCGCAAACGCTTCAGTTCCCGACCGAAGCGTGGGTTGTATCGCTGGCGCATACAGCGGCGAGTGGTTCTCGGGGATTTCATCGACTGTGCCCTTCCTTACAGCGTCGTCCCACTGGTCCACCGGCACACCGCCAAAATTCCAATACGCATACGGTATGCCATGGACGGTCGCTAGGTCGGAGAAGTCTTCGCTACCAGTATCGAATCGCATCTCCCAGGCGTCATGTTTGAAGTGCTCCCTGAAAGTGTCGTAAATTTTCCCTGCCGTCTCATCGTCGTTGACTGTTGGTGGAGACGAATCGTAGCGGGTGATGTCGGGTTTTCGCGGGGAGCCTGCAGCATCACATTCAGCCTGGATGACTCTGTGTAGCTCCTGTCGCAGAACGTCACGCCACTTAGGCACCGAGTGCCTCATGGTGAGCTTCATGTCTACATGGTCTGGAATGACGTTCTCGGCATGGCCGGCATGTATGCTTCCGATATTCAGTATGGCAAATTCCTCGGGGGGAACCTTCGTAGCTACAATTTCTGGCAGCCTGCTGATAATGTGAGCCGCAATGAAGATAGGATTGACAGCCAGATGCGGCTTGGCACCGTGTCCGCCTTTCCCATAAATCCTTATGTTGTAGGAATCATTACCAGCAAGAACAGCGCCCTTCTTTACCTGGACCGATCCCGCTTTGGTAGGCACGACGTGCTGTCCGAGCACGACGTCTGGACGAGGCACCTTGTCATACAAGCCATCTTTGATCATGGCCATGGCGCCGCCGCCGGCCTCTTCACTGGGCTGAAAGAGGCAGATCAACGTGCCATTCCAGCTCTTTGCAGCGGATTTGAGCGTAGATGCTGTTGCCAACAAGACTGCAACGTGCATGTCGTGCCCGCAAGCGTGCATCACGGGATATTCCTTACCATCGTCCCACCGCTCACGCTTTGTGCTCGCGTATGGCAGCCCCGTCTTCTCCTCGAGCGGAAGCGCATCCATGTCGGCGCGCAGCAAGACTGTCGGCCCAGGACCATTGTGGAGCACGCCTACAACGCCATGACCGCCGAGTTTCTCGATAACCTCGAAGCCTTGAGCGGCCAGGTGCTGAGCGGGATAGCGCGACGTGCCATTCTCTTGGCGGGACAACTCCGGGTTCTGGTGGATCTTTTTGTACGTGCTCTCAAAGGGTTCGAAATCGGGCAAGTTGTTTTCAACAACTTTGATGATTGCGCGAGCGCTCTCAACGAAGTGCGTCTCGCTCGACGACATCGGAAGTCTAATCTGGCGCACAACGTCGTCGCTTGGAGACAACGCCTTGCGAGTGAGGTCGCCTGCGAAAATGAGGCCAAGGATCGAAAGAAACCAAGGAATGATCGAAAATCCAATGCGCATGACTGGAGAAGTAAACTGAGCGTTGCGTCGCAGAGGCGGCATATTTGAGGGGCACCCACTGTTTGCCGTTTACATGGAGACGACTGTCCGAGTGAACGGCACCGACGCTGTCTTGACCGCCCAACGCTTGGGTGTAAACAGGGGGCGCAATGCAGGCACCCGCTTCACCCATCTCACCGCCTGAGGCATGGCCTCGATCTTTTCGTCAGACCAGCCAGAGTCGATGGGTATTGCGGTCATACGGTATGACAGCTCGTATTGGTACTCATACGTTATTACAGTTGGGCCCCACGCTAAGGAGCGGCCTAGCTAGAAGCAATTCACCTGCATCCATGAGCCTGCTGGGCGATCCTGCACGGCAATCCTGCAGGGCTGCAGTCGAGACATCAGCTGATGGCGAGACTGCAGGTATGCATGGAGACAAATGCAGACGAGCGTCGCGTTACACAACGTCCACAGCAAATACAAAAGACAAGGCAGACTCTGTTTGCTGTCCACCGCTCCTCTCTACCCCAAGGCAAAGTCAGCCTCACCCTGAATCTCCCCGTCAACTTTGGACGTCCAACTCTCTCAGACAATTCTACTTGATCCAATCGACTTTGACATAACCAAACATGGAGCGTCAGCCACTCAAGCAGCCATGGAAGGCTATCCTTGCTGAGGCCAACGTTGCAAAGCCCGCCACCAATGAGCAACCCAAGGCCCCTACCACGGCCGATATCCGTCTCCGCCTCGGAATCGACGCGAAGAAGTGAGCGCGGACCGGCTTGCATCGTGCCGGCTTGCCTTCTCTCTGGTTCGTGGAATCCTACATGATCATTCCCTCCATCATCGCCGCGAAGCTGACGAGCAAAGCGGACTACGAGTGGTTCTCGAAACCGGTAATGAACACAGGGAAGGGGGAACTCTTCGGGACGCGTTAATTATTCATTGCTCACTGCGATGTGGTTATGTATTCATTCGGTAGCAGCAATTCCAGTCTGTATTTGACATCGTGGCCTACAATTACAATTCCACTTTCCATTCCCCAATCTCAAGCACCCTCTTCTTTGGCCTCGTGCATGATAACAAGCCTCACCTCCACGCTCTCTCTCGGTGCCGTGACACCTGCGCCACTGTCGTTCTCCAACACAGCCGATGTATGCGGCGTGTAATCTGGTTCCATCAACAGCAACTATCAGTTTTCTGAGCACAGCAGACTTTCCCGAAATAGGTCCCATGGCGAAAGGATATCCCTTGCAAGAAAGTGTGGATGGGGAAACTCACAAGACCCCAGCCCGCTCGTGTCCGAATCCCACAGCACAAACAGGATCGACTCATCCGGCTGCTGCTCCTCCAACCAGTACCAGTCGCCCCCGGCACTCTCCTTGAGGATCACCTCCTCCTCGACGCGGTCGGGCATAACGTCGTCAACGGCCACGTAGTCTTCAAGGGAGATGGCCCGGCGGTCGCACACCACCAATGGCGCATTGTGGACCGGGCGGAGCGGACGCCAGAGACTTTTTTGTGTGTGGGGACCGTCAGCTTTTTTGGCGTCTCTCTTCAGCGGACCATGAGAGAGCACGAGCAGTAATTCGTGTATGTGCATGTGTTTGTTCGCTGACAAAAAAGCGTCTGCAAGTAGAGGGGGGGGGGGGGGGGGGGCTTACTTCATGATACGAACCCGCCATTTTCCTTTTTCAACCTCGATGGCTTCATCATCAGACAAATGAGTCTGCACGCGTTCGAGACCGCTTGCGTACGTGTAATCTGTGCGTGTGGTGGTCAGTTGCCGGTGAGGGTGAGGACTCTTGTCTCGTTTCCTGACGTACCGCAGTGGACCGCTCGTGCCGGCGTGCGCGTGTACGAGCGGGCATTCTCCAGGTCTTCAAGCGGCACGTCCGGGCTCTGCTCTGCTGGAATATTGCTTCGGATCTGCGGAGGCCATGTCAGCCGTCTGGTCGAGTCGTTTGTTTTAATAGCGCTTGTCAGGGGAAACAGACCCTCCAGTCGAAGCAGAAGACTCGGTCTGCATTCAGGGTTGTCTTGACGAGCTGAATTGCCTCGGAGAGATAGTCTTTCACCACGTCTGCGCCTAGCTTGGGATCTTCGAATTGCGCGAGGCTGGGCGCTGAGTGAAAGGTATGTTTGATGAACTGCCACCCACAAGTGTCGACGCTGAACTCATGCTCTCGGCCGCGGCCATTGATGAGCGGCACTTTGCTACGCTCCACGTACTGGCAGTTAGTTGTCGATTCCTCGGCGATTTCCGCAAAGTTTAAGAGCTTGTAAGGCTTCTCGGTGCGATATGTCGGCAGGTCGGCCAGGAATTGGAGTGACGCCGTTGCCATCGTTGAGCAGGGTGAAGTTCCAGAGTTCTCAAGGTGTTAGAGAGTCCAACGCTGTCGTCCCACTCTACCTCGAGTATTGCACTCTGGCAGGCAAAGTCTTGCAGACGGGGCGGACTGTCTGAGACGCATTGGCAGCCGAGGGTCGGTAGAGTGAACATCCGCCAGCAGGCATAGACCATTCCTGCGGACCGCAACACACTGACCGGCGCACCAGGGTCCTTTTCCCTTGTCCGTCGCGCGCGGATACGCATGATCAGCCGATCCTACAAATTCTAGACCCTGGTACGAGCCGTCGGTTACGAGCCGTCTGAAATCTGTTCGTGTGAGGGGATGGCTACACGTACGGCCTGGACTCCAATAGCGTCACTCTATCCTGGATCATTCTGGTCTGATATCACACCACACCGCACCAGAGTCATTGGGCATCATGTCGCTGCGAGCTTCAAGAGGCAAGCGACGGATCACCTTGGTCCTTCTGTCTTCCGTGAAACGAGCAAACACGGCCGGACCAAGTTTGGCACTCGACAGAGGTGCAGATGAAATGACAATGTCGACCAAGAGAAGTGGTAGGTGGTGAACAGACCTGGCTACTCAACAACCAGCCTCGCACACATAATCGATCTTTATGCTGCATCTTATTTGACAGAGCTTGCGTCTGACAGGTGCCTCCCAGCATACTGAGTGTCTTTTTCATCTCAGTCTATTTTAGCAGCTCACATCGTTCACAAAAATGATCCCGTCTTCCTATCAGGACCGGGGGATCGAGCAGAAAGGAGAGACAAGGCTGGTGTTCGGTGGACTTGTATATTACGAGTACGGCTACGGTATTGCTTGCAGTCTAGCCGTAAGTATTGTCAGCTACAAACCGATACGTAAGCTTACATAGTCCCACGCTAACTGTACCACCCTGGGCAATGTTGCATGAGTAGGCACCCTTCAAGTTCTCGATTCAGGTGCGGGGTTCCCAGCAGAGCCTCATTATGTGGGGACTCTTGAAGCCTAAGCCAATGACGTGCCAAGACAGTTATCTCAGGTTTCCGGGAACTCCTCGACGTCGCGCGCCTTGCCCATCGTATTCATGCAGCTGCACCAGCGGAGACATAAACCAAACCACGCGCAAGTAGGCGATGGACCTTGCAGAGTAGTCTGCGCCGCCGGATGCTGGCGCCTGGCCTACTCTGGTGACAGATGACCAGGAACTCTGCATAAGGCTCGAAAGGACGTGTCTCGGCCAGGCCGCGCTGAATCGATGACAAGGCCTGCGCTGACCGCTAAGATCGCCACTGGTTCCTCTCTGCGGAATATAGCCTTGAAACCGCCGGTCTCATAGGTCTGAACCTGCAGGGATCAGTTGATCAGGATTCGAGTTGCGTGACTAATCAGTCCGGGAATGGGCAAGACAACCAACAAACAGAGTCCAGCCGTGTCATGAATCTGGCTGCTCGAGTGACCACAGCATCCAAGGTGGGTGCAGGGTCGGTCCAGTGATGGCGAGGTAGAAATCCGTACATGGGTGCCGACTCATCGACCATAGTATCGACCGGTGGATAAAGCAGAACAAGACCAGCCTGAGTACTTCTCGGCAGGGGATTCAGCTGAGGCGGTTTGACGACGCCCTGACACTGTTGACATTGATCATAGAATGATCAAAGTGTATCTCATCTTTGAGCTGAGAAGATAAAACTTGCAGGAGTTAGACTTGCCATGGTTTTCTCGCGTTGGAAATGGTGCGCCCAATTGGTGGAACTATGGTCTGAGTTTACCTCCTTTTCAAGATTCGAGAGAGCATAGGTTCGGTTGAAAGAAGAAGAGAATCTGAAGCTAGAATCTGCTGCAAAGGATGTATTACGAGACTTAGCTCTGTAGAATTAGTTGTTAGCCTGACACATCTAATCGTGTTACGCGGGAAGTTGTTGCTACGGAGGATTGGTTTTCCCTTGAGAGGCCCGTCGAAGGGTTCGTGCATCAGTCGCACTGATCCGCTTGACTGACCACTGGCCCAATCCACCAGGCGTTGCTTGAGTTCGAACAGTGTCGTCTTTTTGGGCTGCAATTTGGATGGCGTAGAGCAGCTTCGGTACCCCTTAGCTGAAGAGAGCTCTAGAGACCTGCCACGTAACACCTTTAGTTGTACCAGCCCATGGACTATTTCTCCACAGTCGATCTCTCGTCCTATGCCAGGCTTTATTCTAGCTTTATACTCTTCTACGGGACTCGTGCAGTCCCGAAACCTTTACCCTTCTCGCAAAAGCCCTGCAGTGTGCAGAGAGCCATGACTTAGCCGATGCTCTCAGACCTCGACTTTCTCCAATCCACCCAAGACGATACCGACATCGATCTCCACCCACTGTATCCCCCACCACACTTCGGCGCCCAGCTTCTCCATCACCCTTCGGCTCGACACATTATTCTCCTCCACATCCGCCATGCCCCACCACGCGCCGTACGCGTCCTCTACGCCCTTCACGGAGAAATGCTGGGCCTGTAAGGCCAACAGCTCCCGACCAAGACACGTCGCCAGCCCTTTCTTGCGATGCGCCTCCTCCACATGCAGCGAGGACAGCGACCCATCTTTGGAGAGAAATCCCCAACCTACACACTCCCTCGGCCCGGTCGATGTATAGAGCCCAACATTCGGCATCTCGCGCAACGTACCCAGCGTGCGCGGTATAGGCGAGCGGTCCAACACGGTTTGCAGTTCCGCGTCAACGAGCGTGCCGAGCTCATAACCGAAAGGCGCGCCGCTGAAATCCACCCTGGGCGCTACTCGCGATGCGTTTGCGGCTGGATCCCATGCCCCAGGCGGCATCAGTAGCTTCACATACTGGCCATCACGTCTCGTGGTGCTGGGCAGGCTGAACCATGGTATGAGGCTGGAGTGAATGGAGCCGAAAAGGACTTTGCGCGTCGAGTACGGCTGCGAGAGGTACTTCTTGTTGTCGCGAAGCCAGAGCCAATCTGCGGGCGGCTCGGCTGGGCGCTGGGGGATGAGATGCGTAAGAATGTGGGTGAAGAGGTGGCGTAGCAAGGGTATCGGTGCCGTGGCCGGCTGAGTTGGTGGATATGTGATGGGGTCTGATGGGGGTGGCGGGTAAGATGCCACGAGGGGAACAGTGTCGCCGGTCAAGACCTCCAATGCGTTTGCGAAGCTGGCGAAAGGTGGCGCGTGCGAAGGAGGGATCTCGCTGGTACTGAAGACCCAAGATTGCGTCTGTCCGGCAGGAAGAAGATTCAGGTACGATACTAGGAATGGGGCCGTAGGAGGCGGTGGGGAGGTCGCCGGTTCGGAAAGCCAGCTTGTGAGTTGTGATTGAAGCTCAGTGCGAGAGGTCGTGGGCGTAACGTCAAACGAGGTTAAAGCGTATAGTGCCAGATAGACTTGTGCGGCCGGGGATGGGTGGCGAAGTTCCCATTGAATACGGCGCACGACGACCAGCGGGTAGGGTAACAATGGAATGAGTTTGTTCTTGACAAGGAGATGAATCTGCGGCTCCGTCAGAGGGACCGAGATTACTGTGGAGGAGAAGGTCTCCGTGGGATAGGTTATCAGGGTATGAGAAGCGAGCTCGCCGGGCGCCATCTTGGTGACAAGACGGCCAATCCGTCTCGGGGCTCGAACGTGGGAGTCGATGGCAAGGTCTTCGAGGGGTTCGAGCCTTGCGGAGTCGACAGTGATTGGTCAGACGATCGACACTCCTACGAGCACGTGACCAAGACGCAGCAAGACAGTTTGGGACTGCCTGAGGTCTACGTTGTTAGCATCTCTGGTCCTAGTAAGATGTTCTATTCGCCTCTCTGTCTCTCGCGAAGCTCATGAGCTTACCGCCGTTCAGGAGAATAGCTTGAGTAGGGTCGCATCGGTTTTCATGCATGACTCATCAGTGCTGTGGGTCTCGGTGCTTTGCCGATTATCCTGTATACACTGCGTAGGTAGGATCGTACTGCAACAAGCCGCCCCGCCACGAATACAAAGTGAAGTGTAAGCCGACCGAGTGATACTGTCATACAGATTTGGGCAGGCGGAACATGTTTCCTGGCTGGGCATTAGGCGAGCTGAGGGACCTGCATGCCAGCTGCTGGCGCCGGCTGCAATGCAAGACGTTCCTCATATTGATCAAGTAAGCCACCCCTAGAGAGTTACGCTGAATGACTCCTGCGATCAGGCTGTTGGCCCTTTACTCTCCGTCGTAGCGAGATCGAATTAATATATAGACATTATTCGATTGTAGCGTTCACGACATTATTTCCTGGAGCTGCCGTAGCTCATTTCTATATCTCGTCCAGTGGGCCTGGGTACGTCGTACTTGGAACGCTTTCCCGCCGGCGTATATTTGCTGCGGAGCCATACTATTGCCCAGACGATGAAGAAGATAACGCACGCGGCAGCCAGGATGCCCAGGATATATCCTGCCAATCTTCCTCCTCCATCTGCAGGGTCGAGAAAGGCATAAGGATAGTACCCTTGGGTTTCGTGAGTTACATAGGCAAGTGCGAGGTACAGCGCAAGCAAAAGGATAATAAACGCCAGATGGAGGACGGGAGGCCGCGGTGTGTCAGGGAAAACGAGCTCCACGAGAGCAATCAGTGAATTGAGGCCGTGTTTCGATACCTGACTTCCATTAGTACCTCGCCGAGCAAAAGCTTACCATACGTACATCTCGCCACTGATCAAGTGATTCCGGAAACCAACTTCCGTTGTACAGGATTGCCCAGTATACAATCGTTACCAAGAAGGGGAAGGTGATGATCGTGGTGTAGAACAGGGTATGTAGTGCCTGGAGCGGTCTTGGCCAGCTGTCAAGCCAGCATCTTCCGCGCAGGGCATATACTAGGGTATGTGCTCCCGCTACCAAGGTGTAGAACGCGAGACCCCAGTATGTGAGTTCGGTAAAAAAGGAGAAGGATCGTCCGATGCCCCATGGCTGTGTGCCGTAGGTGACGAAGATGGCAATGAAGGCATAGAGCGAGAAGACGATGCGCACGACGGCGAGAACGAGTGGTCCAAAAGCCCAGGACGTGGTAAAAGGCAGCGAGAAGCTGTCGCCAGCCACGCCTATCAGAGAGTAGAAGGAGCGCATCGTCGCAGTCAGGCTTGACTGTCGAGGAGAACCTTCAGGTCACTGGCATTGCTGGTGAGCAGTAAGTGTGGTGCGTCACCCGGCAGCGATAAACAATGCGGCAGTTAGCAATGACATCGGCGCAACGCTCGACGCGGGAGCGCAAGCGATGATGGCGAGTGCGGCGAGTCGATAACAGCGGACGTTTGGCTGGACGCAGTCTAGGCGCCCGGGTTGCGGTTTCCTGCTCCGACACAATAAGCATCTTGGGGTATGACACTTAACCTCTCCAGGCTAGACTAGAGCGGTCCCGACAGCGGTCGACTTTGTCCCGAACGTCTGATAATTGATGAACAATGTTCTACAGCGAGTATGCATCTCTAGAAGGAATTCCACGTTGCAGCGAGGCACGTCAGATTTCCACTGGCTCGACGAACTTCGAGAAATCTGCGCCTTTGATGAGTCTCTCGATGGCGTGTCGATTTCCACCTTCTGATTAGCTGGATAGTGGAATCGGTTACCAAATCAAGCGAGATTCAATCTGAAGCAGCCTTGGCTTGGGAGCAGGACTAGCCGGTGTTTCGGCTGGGCATCACACCCGTTTCGACAGGGAAGACGCCTGTTGCTGTTCCTGGCTTCCCTGCAGCGTGGCCGTTGAGCCCTGGGTCGGTCGATCATGGAGCACTGCTTGATGCCGTGCATGCTGTGCAACACGCAACCACCAGCCAACACATACAAAACGGCGCTGCAGATCAAAATGACCAACAAGACTCATGGTTGGGAACTCCCGATTCATATTCAATGTATGTAATAATAGCGCCTTTGTGAACTCCAAGGGCAGAGATCAGCATGGAAATACTGCCGCAGTCGTCTAAGCGGACAACCGAGGGGGTGGTAACACATCCCGATGATTTTTGCTTCGGGATGCGCATCGATCTACAACTCGCTGGGCTGTGTCCTTGCTGTCTCCGGGATGGTGACAGGATGCTGGCAGTTCTGCCGCCAACTCATGGCCACGAGCCTGCCATACATAACGTGCCGCTCGTGCAACAATGGACAACCACGGTGGCGTGAAAAATGGCTACGCCAACTCCTGTTGGTTAAACCAAGCAAGCCCCCTTTTTATTACTCCGGAGCCTGATCGACATGGCCAGCTGGGGCGGGCGCCACTTCGCATAGACTTGCACAGCCGTATCGGGGGACCCCTGGATATGGCCCGTCAGTGGCCATTGGAGACTGCACGCTCGACTGTCTCGGGCCATTGCCCACAGCCTCAACTTGGATTTCCTTTTTCAATTTTCCGCATCGTGGTCGTGCTTCATACTGCATGGCTGCACTCTTTGCACCGTTCGCTTCCAATCTTTACACTCGCTGCAAATAATAACTGCGACTTTATTGTCGCTGGTGATATTGTCTCGCTCGCTGCCATCCGACGTCACCCCTGTAACAATCGTCACTCGAGCCGTCAACCCACAGCCCCGCCCACCAACCAACAGTTGTCCATGGTCCTGTCTGCTACCTCTACTGAACCCTCACGCTCGCTATCATTACCTCCTTGATTCTCTGCCATTAATACACCCTTCTTTATGGAACGGCCGCGCCCCAACTTCATCGAGCTACCCCGAACCGACTCCCGCACTCAATCGTCTTTGAGTAATGGATCGGGTCTCATCTCACCACGAATCCAACACTTCGATGGCGATATCCCACCTGCACTTTCGCCGCTCGATGCCTTCGCTGCACAGAGCAGGCGCCTCGCAAGAGAGCTTGAAGAGACAAGAAAGGCCGGCGAGCGTCGCATGAGCAGACTCCCTCCTCAAGTCGTTAGCAAGTCGCTCGATGAACACCACAAAAACAAGCCTCAGATCTTTCGCGCCCTGTCCAGCGAGGATGCTGTCCCTCAAATTCCTCCCGCCTTTCGACAAGACAGCGGCAGCAGTCCTCATGTCGAAGAACCCAAAGAAAGACCACAGTCCTCCTACCCCAGATTCAGCGTCTTGCCGACAAGAGAAGGGAGTTATGAGAGCCAGCCTTTTATGACACCTGTGGAAGAAATGCCTGCGGGACGGGAAGACTACTTCAATGTGCCCCGAGCAGAGTCGCCTGCGTCCCTCCATCGTGTTGCCGCTGAGGGGAGCCCCGATAAGAGGTTCAAGCATCTAGACTCCGTTGAGACTACACTGTCTCGACAGCACTCATCTGCTTCCAACCCGGACCTGACTTTCACCCTTGCTCCTCCCAATGCTGCCTTCGCTCGTCGACCATACCACGAGAGCTCCGACGACGACTACACGAGCTCTAATGCCGGCTCAACCTTCTCCCAAATCCCTCGAAAACTGTCATCTAGTAGCGGAGTCTCGATTCCACATTCGCCCGCATCGGCGTACGTGCCTTCACACGATCGATCGCCATCCTTGAACTCCAACAACTCGCTACCTCTTTCTGGCGGAGGAAGCCGAAAAGGCCGGTTTCCGCTGAACTTTTCTCGACCTATGAGCTCAGCTAGTCTGACCAATCTCAAATTGGGCTCTCCCGCCTCGCAAGATGGAGAGCGTGGTATCTCAGCGTTCGACCAGGGTCTACCAACGCCTTCGAACTCGTTCGACGATACCCGTTCAATTGTTTCTGAGGGATTTGCAGGCGAGTCTTCGTCATATACACATACAAAATGGACTCTGCCCCGTGGTCGCAAGTCCGACAGAACTTCATCTCTGTTCTTGGGCTTGTCCGGGCCCCACTTTGAGTGGCACGATCCCAATCAGCCTGGTACACCACCGGCCGATGGGAGGCCGAGCTACGAATTACCTCATGCTTCTCCTGGCATCTCCAAACAGGCGGCCAAAGCAGAAAAACCCGAGTTTGCTTTTGGGTTCGATTCAGATAGACCGAGGGCCTTGAGCAATCAGGATAGGAGACCAAGCTCTTCGTCCGGAGTTGCCAATTCCTCAAGTGCCGCTTCAAGTTCCACCGTCCGTCCAAGGACTGCAACCACACCAGGAAAACCTTTTGAGCCACCACCGATCCCGAATGACGAGGTCTCGCGCTCTTCACGCTCAAACAGCACAGTCCGGCCATCTACTTCGCGGTCAACGAGCAACTATCAGGCTCTTTCGCCTGATGATCATGTCACCAAAGCCATTGACTTGCACCAGAATGGTGATTTGAAGGAATCTACATACCACCTCCGAATCGCTGCAAAGTCTGATCACCCAACCGGCATGCTATTGTATGCTCTGGCCTGCCGCCATGGCTGGGGCATGCGTCCAAATCAGCAGGAAGGTGCCACATGGCTGCGAAAGGCCGTAGACCATGCAATGCTCGAAGTTGCAGATGACGAAGATCCCAAATCGACCAAACCCAAGGCCGACTTGGCGGAAATGAAGGCGCACAAAGCACAGTTCGCACTGGCGATATACGAGATAGGCCAATGTCATCTGAATGGCTGGGGTATGGAGCAAGACAAAGCACTTGCACTGCGGTGTTTCGAGATTGCCGGCAACTGGGGTGACACTGATGCTCTGACCGAAGCCGGATACTGCTACGCCGAAGGCATCGGCTGCAAGAAGAATATGAAGAAGGCCGCCAAATTCTACCGTATGGCAGAGGCAAAGGGCATTAGCATGGTTGGCAACAGCTGGTAAGTACGCTCTACAAGAGCCTGAACCCGAACTAATGTCGTGACAGGATCCACAAGGACAAATACAACGACGACGATGACGGTCATGGTCGCAAGAGTCGCGACAAAGACCAAGCAAAGGAAGAGAAGAAGTCGCGGGCTCGCAGCAAGAGCCGAACGCGCTCCATATTCACGAGAAAGCGAACTGTGACGTAAGCTGGAGTGGTAATACCCTATTCTGAAACGATATGAGAACCTGCTACGTTGTGGATATCTGCATGTTGGCGAATCCCGTCTGCAGCTGTGCTGGGCGGAAGAGAGATACCCTTCATTGAGCTGCATTTGCGTTGGTATTGCTGGTGTTGCGCATAGCCGGCATTTGCACCTAATGTTTCATATGATGCTCATGAGAAATTGGAGATGAGAGCTGGCGAGACTGGCCAAGTAGGAGGACTGCTGTGGGCCTTGAGTAGCCTAGGATTGAACCCGCTAGAATTATTCGAGGATCTGATGCGCTCACTCGCACTTGCAGAGTCGGTACCAAAGATCAGGACATCATATTCCTCAATGCAAGCACATATGCAGTGGTTCGAACAGACTTGTGCGGACTTGGCATACGCCCGAGGTAGTAGTAGTAGGAGTAGTAGTCGTCGTCGTCGTCGGTTAGTGGTTGCCTTGTTCGTAGCCGAAGAAGCTTATCCGCGCGCACCGCCTGTCCCTCGCCAAAGTGCCTCAAGCATCGTTCTTACCACAGTCAGTCTTCTGGTCAAACTCTTCTCCGACAGTTCGTTGCGATATAAGCTCATCTTAAAGACACTCTTCGGTCCGCAGCTACATATACAGTCGAATGCACTCTTACTCAAAGATAAACAAGCTTGACACGACCGAGTGCTTGTAAACAACAATGTACGATCAGATTAGAGCAGGACATTGCGCGACTGAAGCAGCTCGCCTGGTTGAGCTACTCCACGAGTCTTGCTTACTTTCGAGCCTTGAGATCATGAGTTTGAAGTCCTTGATAACCACAGAAGAAAATAGCCACGATCTCGACTGCTGTGGACAGCGGTGAATTCGAACGGCACGCCTGATCGGTCGCCCATTACCAGTAGATCTAGGCCCTTTCCAACCCTATTTTCGCCCTAATACATGGGCCCCTGGTCGATTCCGCCGCCTTGCAGACCCAGTGTGTGGTCTTCCTTCCAATTATAGCTTACTTTGCGCAGCAGAACTGTCCCGCTGTAGGCGGGATAGATAACCACACCGTTCGCTACCACCCGCAGCGGAGTCACGTTGGCGAGCTCGATCGCCTCGCTTACGCTCGATCTTGGGTCTGCATTGTACTAAGCCTTACCTCTGCTTTGTCGATGCTGTTGAGCATATGCAAGAACAGCTACTCACAATACTAGCCATGTCTCGGATTAACCAAAGGACGCCGAAAGACCTGCGAAGTGATCTCAACGATCCACAACGTCGTGACCGAAATCCTCGGAGGGTCGTGATTCCGACTATGCGAAGTTAAAGGCTGAGAAGGACCACGAGTGGTCGGGTCGTCAAGGTTCAACAGTAGCTCCCGGCGTGGTCCGCTTGTTAGCTTGAGCTTCGAGCCGCTCAAGAACCCCCGAGGCCTTCCTCGCTGCGGGACAGCTAGGCGGCAGACGTGGTCGTTTCTAGATCATGTCGCAACGGCTGGAAATCATCTTTTCGTTCTCTTCTCGTGTCAACGCGCAGGATCTGACATGTTCATCAGCTTGCTTTGAAAGACCCTGAACCTTCCTAGCACGAGGACCGTGGATGCAACTACCAGCTATGCTCTCTCTAGGCTGGGTGGCCGCCTTCGCAGCCCTATCAAATACTGTCCTCGCCTCGGCTCCCCTGGTGGCACGACAGGGTAACCTCAATCTTACTGTCTCTGTGTTCTTGCTCTCACGCATATAGACTACCAATGTGGTGCTAATACCACGTATACCGCGCCCATCGGGCTCGAATTCAATGTCTATCCATGCACAAAGAATTATGGCGTCGGCGACACACTTGTCAGCCCTCAGGCGGCTGACAATATGACGGAATGTATGGACCGATGTTCCACCACTGGCAACGGAACCCTGCCTTGCGTCGCTGTAGTGTACGGCCAGAAAGACCAGCTATGTTGGCTGGTAGACGCCACCTTGAATTCAACCACGCAACTTGTAACCGACGACGATTTAGACACCGCCCTCGTGTCGGACCTTTCACTTTTCCAAAATCTCGACACCCAGTGTCCGTACGCCAATACCTCTACGCAGACGACCTCGAATAACTTGACCTTTGAGGTTTTGTGTGGGAACGACTTCAAGGGCTATGATGTAACACCTTGGGTAGGTGCCACGCCTCATCATGAGGAAACTCTTGGAGGGTGCATGGAATACTGCTCCACATTGAGGCCCATATGCTATGGAGTTGTTCACGACCCAGGCATGGGACATGGCTTTGTCAACTGCTGGCCAAAGAGCGTGGGAGTTACTACCAATCCTCGCATGGAATCCACTATCAACATGGCCATCGCGCGCTTTGGTTCAGACTTCAACACCACATGCAGTTATGGCAACTATACGTCTTCTACGGGTGCTAACTTTAGCATGATCTGCGACGCCGTTGGTGCTGGCGAGGACATCAAGACCGTCTACCAGCCCAACTTTGGCGCCTGTATGGACACCTGCGCAGCCTACGTGCCGTCAGGAAACCAGGCAGGACAGGATTGTAACGCTGTCCTCTACGAACCGGACGCCGCCAGTGGATACGAAAACTGCTACCTCAAAGCCACCGGACGGCAGAACGAGACGCGCTCGGCCTGGCGCTTAGGAATACGGCTCGACCAAGGGAGCAAGACGTCATCCGGCGGCGGAGACTCCACTTTCTCCCCAGGCGGCAGCGGCGACAGCAGTGGCAGCAGTGGCAGCGGCAGCAAAGCCTGGATCGCAGGCCCTGTTGTTGCTGCGGTGGTCGCCGTGGCACTCTTCTTTGGCGGATGCTTCTGGTGGCGCAGACGACGATCTCGAAAGTATGGCGGTGGTCAGCGTCGCACCAGCAGTAGTAGAATGCCACGCTGGCGGAATCGATCCGAGTTGGATGCCAATTTCACCGAGCGCAAGGAACTGGAGGCAAAGCAGTCGCTGAGACCACTGTCCGAGTTACCAGGCTCGGCGGGAGTGTGGCATGAGATGCCGTCTGACAGTACGCCCAGTTCGCGGACGTTGGGTTGATCAGGGATGGGTTACGTGGCCTGACACAGATTACCTTGTCCGTGCGAGAGTCGATTGAAGAGCCCGCGGCTGTCCAATCGAAGTCGCTACCGTCTTGATCGCTGGTAGGCGCTTTTGCAGGACACGCTTGAATTCGGCCCATTGATCTTACGAAGGCCTCAGGGTAGAGTCAATTCTTGGCCATTGAAACAGCAACCCGATTCTAAACGGCCAGCGCATAGATTGCGACTGACACAAAGGTTTTGTTCAAATTGCTGTACAGCTGCAGCCTCACAACCAACGCCTGCAGAACGTCCGCTGGTCACGCCACCACGATCTATCTTCTGGGCAGCGAGCGCTGATTTGCGGGAATCCATTCCAGGACCGCCATGGGATGAGCTGCAAAATGATGCCTGCATGGCATGTATCTCGAACAACCAATACCCTTAAATGGTGCACATCAGACCCTGATCCAGTGTGGGGTTGCAAGACAGGATGCTGGCTGAGGGTTTGATGCACTCTGACCGGAATTATCTATGGGTATTCTATACTGACAGCTTGGGGATCTTTCAAGAAGTCCTAGGGAGAATGGCGTTGCAGTGCTGTGTACAGTGTCTAGCGCAAAAGGGCGGGATCGGCAGCAGGATCGAGGAGGCTTACATAGAAGCTTCGAGTGCATAATTGAGACAGACTACAGAAGCTGTCGACATGTTAAATTCAGCAGCGTTTCAGATCCAAGCGGTCACTCTCGGGTTCAGGCGACAATACGAGCCTCGAGGCACAAGCCTCGCTTGAGTCAGCACATGAGGTGCGTCTGATGCCTGGCAGGCTGCCTATGGTGTTAGCCGTGGCCACCACGAAGGGTTACAGGTAGAAATGCAGAAAGGCAAAAAGGCGCGACCCTTTGAGGTTCGAACTTGCACGCACATAGCCAAAACCAAAAAATTCAAACCCGAAGGTTGGAATCTATGAAGAGCCCTCTGATAGAATACATACCCCCAGACCGGAACACACCCAGGATGATAGATCATAGCGTTCAGGGTCTTTATTAGACCCAGCGCCAAAGCTCTCTGCCAAGTTAGCTTTGACTAAGCCCCAACCTCCATCCACGGGGACAAACTGTAGGCTAAGTGGTGTTAAGGTGGCAGACAAAGGTCTTTGGAGATTAACACAAAGCAGAAACCCCCCTAGCTTTTCTTGTTGCCAGTTTGTTGATGCACTTTTCGACAATTGCAATAATTATGGGTATGGACGAGGTTGGCGAGGCTGTGTTGGGCCAAGGGTGACGAGGCTGAGGATCAGGTTCAGTAGTGAATGTGAATCTGTGATATAGGAAGACGGTTGGAGGTGAGATTCATAGTCTTATTTCGCCGGACCACTTGCGGCAGCACTTCTTTGTTTTCGAAAGCTCCTCGGCATACGAGTGCAGCGGTAGCTTGTCGTGTAGATACATCCAGACCTACCTGATGTGACTCGAGTCCAGTATCCGCTACCCATCGTTAAGGGACTTTGGCAGGACTCAAAGAATGAACGAGGTTGACTTTGAGGTTTCGATCAAGTTTGCTTTGCGTACCTAGCGCCTTGGCAAGGACTTGGTTGAATCTCGCCCAGGACCCCAGATCTTCGGGCTCGGATCTTGCCCCCTAAATTATTGGAGATGCAGGTACCATCGGCGCTAGGTCGCGGTGAGAAGTGTCTGACATCACCACTTAGAAGCATCATTCTCGACTTACAACAAGGACTCGCGGTTGTGGACAGATCTGTCGCTTGTTCCTCCCCTCGAGTGAGTGCAACGTTAGGCTCTGGCCGCTCTACACTGCATGCTCCGCGCCACCATGGCCCGAACCACCCGCGCCGCCGCCGCTGCTCGGCAGCCCGTCTCAAAAGCTCAAGCATCGACCCGCGCAAAGAAGGAAGAGCCAGACGTACAAGTGAAGAAAGAAGACACCACGCCTCGCAAGCCTACAGCATCTACGCGAAAGCGCGCCGCTGCCACCGCAGACAAACGCTCTTCCAAGAAACTAAAGACTGAAGAAGCTTCGCCTGAGCCCGCGCAACTGCCTTCACCTTCTTCCAGTGCCGCTTCACCCAAGTCAGACCCAGAACCTTCGACGCCAATAACAAAGTCCAAATCGCCAAAGAAGGTTAAGGCCACGCCTGAAGCTCTGCGCGACCGCAAGCTCAAAGCGCACTTGCAATACGCGAAGACCTCCCCTTTCCCGAACTTCCCACATCCGACGCACGCTGAAGCCAAGCTCGCCCACAAGATCCTATCGCAACTTCATGGTTCCAGGATTCGCCCGGAGAAAGTTGTGGCACGGAGCGACCGCGCAGGATGTGGGGACAGCCCGTCGGTCCTGGACGCCTTAGTCCGCACAATACTCAGCCAGAACACCAGTGACACCAATTCCACCCGTGCCAAAAGGAGTATGGATCAGGTCTACGGCGGCAGTGATGAGTGGCAAAAGATTGTGAACGGTGGGCAAGCAAAGCTGCAGGAGGCCATCAAATCCGGCGGCCTTTCCGTTGTCAAGTCCAAGGTGATCATTTCCATTCTACAGCAGGTGCACGACAAGTACGGGACCTATAGCTTGGATCACCTACATGAAGCGAGCACCGAAGACGCCATGGCGGAGTTGCTGTCATTCCAAGGCGTTGGGCCCAAGACTGCCAGTTGCGTCCTGCTTTTCTGTCTGCAACGGGAGGACTTTGCCGTCGACACACACGTCCATCGGATTACAGGCCTGTTGGGCTGGCGGCCCAAGAGCTCTAGCCGTGAGGAGACCTATGCTCACCTCAATGTCATGATTCCCGACGAAGACAAGTACGGGTTACATATCTTGCTGGTTGGTCATGGGAAGAAATGCGAGGAATGTCGAGCTGGAGGCAAGAGCGTTGGCAAGTGCGAGTTGAGAAAAGCGTTTCGGAAAGGGAAGCTTGAGGGAGAAGCTGGTGAGGGAGTGAAGGAGGAAGAACAAGAGGTAGTCAAAGAGGAGGACGAATAGCGCCTCTGTACCCTCTCTCTGTATCAACATCTTGCTTGGACCCTGCAAACTAGCACGCAAACGTCTCAACGGCCAGGTGTAATTGTTGCAACACGGACAGGCGCACTTCAAATCCTCATGGTGGCCTCTTTAGCATGTCTAGCGCCAAGACATGGATATATGGATAGCCTAAGAGCAGAATTGTTTCCCATGTGTAGTGCGACATCAAGTAGGACATGCAACGAGTCGCTATGCTATGTCAGCTGTAGTCTGAAGATGCCACCACACGGCGGAACCTGCCCGAAAATTGTCTCCGATGCAAACAGCGGAGCCGGCTAGATGTTGAGCCGGACCTTCACCCACCCCCGGCGACTTTCCAAGCAGCGTTTCAATCAGTACGCCATCCAACAGCTTGCCCTTTGGACAGCGTTAAGCCAGCAGCCTAAACTCCACGTGGTGATTTGGTAAGCCTTGTCAGGATCTTGGCTCAACGACGCGTTCTCGATGGGGCAATGGCACGATTAGCAATGCCACGCGGTTGGACTCGATGCCGACTACGGGAGAGATAAAGTCAATCAGGAGATGGGTAGGCCGCGATGAGGGAGGTCAGGATATAAAGCTATAAGAGCTTGCTGCTCGGGATGGGATTCCCACAGACTCAACCGGCAACAACACGAAATTCCGGCAATCCTATCTCCTGCACAGCCGACATCTCTCTTCCATTTCACAGTAACATACCACACCCCTCTCGCCCACCATGTCCATCACCAAAATCGCCCTCATCGGCGCCACAGGCAACATCGGCCACCCCATCCTCCAGGCGCTTCTGAACGACGGCAGCTACGAAGTCACCATCCTCTCTCGCCAAGGCAGCACCTCCACAGACTCTCTCCCCACCCACCCCCGGCAGAAAATCACCAAAGTTGACTTCGACGACCTGAACAGCCTCACCGCTGCGCTACAAGGCATCGAAGGCGTCGTATCCAACGTCGCCGGCCACGCGCTGCTGTCGCAAAAGAAAATCGTCGATGCCGCCGTCGCCGCCGGTGTGCAGCGCTTCCTGCCCAGCGAGTTCGGCTCCGATCTCACTGTGGCGGTCAGTGCGGCGGTGCCATTCAATCAGCCCAAGGTCGAGGTGCGTGACTACCTGGAGCTGAAAGCAAAGGAGCAGCCGGGGTTCAGCTACACGTCCGTGTGCTGCGGCCCGTTCCTGGACTGGTGCTTGAAGGTGGGCCTGTTCGGCGACCTCAAGACGCGTGAGATGACGCTGTGGGATGGTGGGGAGACCAGAGTGACGACGACGACGCTCGCGTCTGTGGGAAAAGCCGTCGCGGCGATCTTCAAGAACTTAGAGGCGACGAAGAACCGCACGGTCAGGATTGCGGACACCACGGTCACGCAGAAGCAGCTTTTGGGCATCCTTGAGGAGCTGGACGGGAAGAAGTGGACTACTAAGCAGGGGAGTACCGCGGAGGCGTACCGCGCGGGCTTGGAGGAGTGGAAGCGGCCGCAGCCGAATATGCAGGTCGCGATCGTCAATCAGCTGATGCGGATCATCTTCAGTGAGGAGCACAGCCCGGATTATGCGGATAAGCTGGACAATAAGGTGTTGGGGTTGCCAGTCATGACCGAAGAGCAGGTCAAAGAGGTTGTCAAGGGTTGCTTGTGAGGGATGCACTATGTGAGCCATAACCCGAGACGGCCGATTCTGAGATGTCACAAGTGGGACTGTGGGATCAAGGTAGACATCATCCATGATAGCAATGCAAGTCTATCTCGAATCGTTCTCTCCGAGACCGCAAAGTTGCCACCGTCAGTTCCTGGCAGAAGTAATCCAGTACTAGTACCTTTTCCATGGGCTCTCGAAGAGCAAAGTGCGGAGTATACAGGATGAATGCGTTCGATTGACGTACGGCACCTATTATCAGTGTAAGCCTGTATCAATGCCTGATCGGCTCGTCTCTCCGCCCCGTCAGCAGCACTCGTGTCTCGCTACGGATGATATACAAATACATCTTCCAAATGCACGACGCACGTCTGCCTGCCAAGTAACCAAGGCGTTTTGCCCTGTCCGCTTCTCCTCGGTCCGCCCCTTTCCGGTAGCTCCGCTCCGACCACCATGCTGTCCAAACTCATGTTCTTCAGAGAGAAGGTGGAGTATCTACCAAGTATGAAACATCGCGGCTATGAAAGATGTTTCTCCAAGCTGTCTCGGGAGCGCGATACTGCACTCGGATTGCAGCTTCGCCGAAGGCAAATCTTGGGAGTCTGGGGTTTTATCAACGGTCAAGTTCTACCTGAATACTGCTTTCTGCACGATACGTTCTCTCTTGCTCTTTCTTCATTCTTGACTTCAGTAATAATACTTGCCGTGTTGACGTGGCCGCCTTTCATTTTCTCTCTTCTATTCCTGTAATCAGCCGGGCTGATCCTTATTTCTGCCTCCATTCGTTGCTGACGCACATTCTTCCGACCAGCAGGACCAGCGAAGATCAATTGAAAAGATATTAGGCCAAAAAATGAAATCTCGAAGCATCGTCTCGGGCCTTCTCGGACTCGCCGCAGCGACCCCTGTGCCCGTCACGCACCAACCAGCAGCCATAGCTCCACACGACGGCGGCCTCGGTCCCTTCAGCTTCACCTCGACATTCAACATGATGGCAACACCAGACCAGGTCGTCGACATGGACAGCGCCCCCGCTCCAGGCGAAGCCGGCGCCATGGGCTTCTACAACTACGGCATCAACAGCGAGCTAGACATTATTTGCTACGTAAGTGCCTCACAATCTTCGACTAATCCCAGAAGGTCGCCACTCGTTTGAACCTCAGCCGCTAACCTTGGGCCACACAGAACATCACCCTCCTCGGCGTGACCGGCCCCTACGACTCCCCCGCCGTGACAGCCACACACATCCACGAAGCGGCCGCCGGCGCCGCCGGCCCGCCCCGCATCGCCTTCCCGAACCCCGAGCCCGCGGATTCGGGGCCCGAAGTCGTGAAACGGAGCCAGGGCTGTATCCAGGGGCCCTTCACGACGGGCGTCGAGGGCGATAATGGCGAGGATACCGGCGCCGGCTTCACCTTGGCGCAGATCGAAGCTAATCCGGAGGGCTTCTTCACGGATTCGCATACCGTCGTGTCGGTTCCAGGCGTGGTGCGTGCGCAGCTGCAGGCGAATGGCGTGATGGGCGGTGTGCCGAGCGCGGCGGTGCATGGCGCGCAGGGTGTGGATGGGGCGTGCACTGTGCAGGTCATTTCGGTTGGTCCGCCGGTTTCGGTTGTGTGCTTGAACTAGATGAGTGGCTTCGCCATCCGGTGCGTGGTTCTGGATGATCGGGTGGATCGTGGCGATTGGGACATTCATGTTAAACTCATTGTGGTGTGTGTGTGGAGACGGGGCAGCCCTCGCTCGAGAGCACAGTAGCGTGCCCAATACTATAGTATGCAATAAAAAAACTGCCATCACCAACGTTTCTGCGCCTCAGCCTCACGATGTGAGACGCTCTCTAGAGGTATATCGTGCACCGGTCTCACGGCCCAAGACGAAGAGGGATAACCGTGCCAGACACCCGGGTATAGATCAAGGATAGGAAAGGAGAAAGCATCGTGATTTTCAGCCCCTGGTGGGGTCTTGCACGGTGGGTATTCCGTCCCATGAAAGCCATGTTCCGATCTAATTGCGCCGAGTTGAAGAGCAGACATCCCTCGATCCGAGAAGATTCTAGGGTGTTGCTCAATCTCTATGTGCTTCGCGTTCGAACACTTACGAACATCGCAAAGGTCATTCAAATTTAATCCAATCCAGTCTGTCCAAAACACTAAGATGCAACGCGCAAAGAAACCTGTGCTGCCCGAAATGCCAGCGGCCCTAGATTTCGAACCCTTCTCGGCTGATTCTGTAGTAAGAAGTCCTAGCGCCGCCCCCCCCACATTGCTCCCAAAGAAAAATACACATGGTCCTGTGCACAGAAAACGCTAGCCACTATGGCTAACGCAGAAATGGGAAATGGATTGAAAACATCAGGCTTGCTAATTCCTCACGGAAGGACGTGGTTCCCCCTACTCAATCCTAGGCGATAGTAGTCGTACTGGTCGCGCTGCTGCTGGAATCGTCGACTGTAGAGGTTATGAGCTCGGTTGAGGTAGTTGGGGTCTCGGTGGATTCAGTTGTCGAGCTTGACTCAGCCGTCGAGCTTGTATCGCTAGTCTGCTCTGAGCTTGACTGGTCTGTAGTTGACGGGCTTGTTGATGTGGAAGACTCCGTGGTAGCTATGCGCGCCGCTCCGCTACTGCTGTCGTTAGATGAAGTGGGGGTGGCTGTCGCGTCGTCCAAAGACGATGCAGAAGCTGAAGAAGCCTCGGACAAGCTCGAAGTAGAGTTGTCCGCTGTCGCAGTTGAGCTTGAGACGCTGGTCGTTTCCGTAGCGTTGCTGGTAGACATAGTAGTCGAGTTCAAGAATGACGTTGGGAGCGACGTGAATGTGCCGTTTCGAAGAGCAGTTGAGCTTGGGATGCTAGTCGTTTCTGTAGCGTTGCTGATAGACGTAGTAGTCGAGTTGAAGAGTGACGTTGGGAGCGACGTGACTGTTCCGTTTCGAGGAGCAGTTGCCGTTGGGGTCGTTGTTGGGTTAATCAATGTCGGATTTATCGACAGGTCTGTGGATGGCAGAGCTGAAGTAGTAGTGGCATTGTTGGTGGTGCTCATGGTAGTCGTCGAAGTCGTCGTGTATAGAGTAGGGTCGTAGGACTGTTGAGCCGAGGAGATGGAGCTGGATTCAACGGGACATGGCTTCTGGTATCGACCATCACCGCAGTTGTCGGGCCAGTGACCCCAACCACCACCATTCCAAGGACCGCGAAAACCACCATTGCCGGGCCGCCAACCGCCGGGGCCTTGGTTCCTGTGGCCTCGATGACCCCATGGTCTACCTGGACGACCGCCATTGAACCTGCCTCCGTGACCGAGGGCACTGGCGGCAGCGGTCAAGCAGAGAAGAATGACACAAAAGAGCTTCATCTCTGCTGTTGGAACGCTATGTGTTGAATGTAATGTGCTGGGGGCGTGTGTTTCTGAAGGAGTGTGCTGTAGTAAAGACTGTCTGGGGTCGGAAGCTGAAAGCGCAGCTCAAGAATCAAACGAGTAACGAATGTTGGAAAGAGAAACTGATGCTTCTACCTACTACCACAGTTGCGATGGTCGCCTCAAATACGTTTCTACAGCCAGTATTACAGTACTGCCTGGTATGCGAAGGGATGTTGCATTCTAACGCGTAGGAAAGATAAAACTTGATCGGCGCTCGAACAATGTACTGCTTAGGCGTTTTCGGTAGGTACGCGGATACTCATCCCTTCCGAGATCGACGTTAACAAGTGATGTAACGTTTCAGTTCCGCCGGGAATGGGGCTAGTGGAGGATTCAAGCAAGGGCGTGCCCCATCTTGACACAACAGGCTTGGCTGGTATCAGTCTTGCCTTTTCTCGTCCATGATTAGTGGATATATTGCCTGTATGATCTACAGCTCGAAAGAATGGGTTATCGCTAGGTTCATTGCACTGCGAGGCTAGGTATCATGCAGGCGATGAGCATAGGGACGGACCAGGCCGGATTTCGCCAAGCTTGGATCAGGCTGGCAGTCTCAGGGGCTGCCTGGTTGCCTTGGCTGCGCCGTTGAAGTAAGGTAAGAGTGACACTGCTGTGAACTCAAGGCGGGCGCAAGATAGGCGCGAGGATATCTGTATTCACTTCAACTCGGCTGCGCACAAGCGACAACGCTGAAATTGTTGAACACTATTTTTTTTATTTGTTGCTTGTTACACCTAATTCATGGCTACCTAACAGCGCTATTCTTTCATCACATTGCCTTATGGTAGAACTTGCCGCCAACGTTATGTTGTCCACCAATATGATGGAGCTCTCTCCTCAGCAGCGCGGTGCTGTGGAGCCAAACGAGCTGCTTTGGCTGCCCGCAGAAGTGCGCCTGCGCATCTATGGCTACCTCCTCATGGCTGACCCGCCCTTGTGCTTTGTCATCTCAGAGCGAGGTTCTCTGTTTCGCCTCAACTCTGCTTATTCTGCTCTCTTGTTTGCACCGAGGTTCTCAAGATTCACCTTATCTTCGAAGGGCGAGCTGCCCCAGCAGACGACTGCCGCCCTTGGGATCTGGGTCTTCGCGCAAACCTGCCGCTTTTTCCATGCCGAAGCCATGACCTATTTCTACACCCACAACACCTTCGATTTTTACTGGTTGACACTGCAAAACTTGCCTGCGTTGCAACGCTCGCAACCCGCCAGCAGCCTCATCAGAGTCATGGCTATGCAGTATCAATTTGACATACTAAACATTACAAAGTCCCCTCAATTGTGGCATCTTGATCCAGCACTCCCCTGGCTGCAGCACCTCACACTGACCTTTCCGGGACTGCTCCTGCAGTTTCTGGTCGCCGTCCTCGACCTCACCCGCCATCTCCCGTGCAACGACCTTCGGACTGACTGGCCAACTCTCCGCTTGCACATCGATGTTCCCCGGAACAAATCGGCCAAGACTCTTTACCGAAAGGAGATGTTGTATGGACGAGGAAACGATGAATTGTTTGAAGATGCTTTTGTGTCCGATAGACAGACTTTCCATGACGACTACGGTCGCGACATTGTCGAAGCTCCTTGGCAGGCAAAGCCGAACGTGCATCTTAAGAGAATGCTGGGTCCATACCTGCCGCCATACGAGAGCGCAGCAGGATTGGGAAGAGAGCTACCGGGCGTCAGAAACATCGTGATGGAGGGTTGTATGGTCGAAGAATTGCTGTACCTGGTTGAGAATCATCAAACTGACGGTGGCCGCTGTCAATTCGTACATGTTGGCAAAAAGCAACACTTCATCAAGCACATGCAGCAGGTCGAGAGTGATATCGCGCCCAAGGAAGAGATCGAGGACGCGATCTTCGAGACGCAGATATAAGAATGGCGACGTCTGACGAATCGGAACGCTGCCAGAGATGCAGGAGACACGAGCATGTGGGCCAGTCAACTCGCAAGGATGGGACTGTGTGACGATTACGTGAAGGCTCTGCAGGCCGACGGTCTGAGAGCGCGTGAAGGGCAGGCGATCGAAGTGAACAGCAACCAAGTCGAGGCCGAGCACCAGAGTGAGGACGAAGAAGTTGGTGAAGATGAAGAAGAGGGTGAAGATGAAGAAGAGGGTGAAGATGAAGAAGAGGGTGAAGATGAAGAAGAGGGTGAAGATGAAGAAGAGGGTGAAGATGAAGAAGAG